ATGATGATAATTCACTTCCTTCTATTTAGTGTTACTCTGTATACAACTAGAAGGGGTGTACAAATAAGCTATAATCTCGAATCTCGTGTTTCTCTTGTGCAATCCCAACTTATTAAGCTTCTGTTGGAAACCAGAAGTTTTCATAAGCATCAAACCTTTTAATGTTTGAATCTTCATTTCATTTTTAAATCATAATAGTTCAGGGACTTCTGACGAAATATATGAATTTTTTTACACCAACTTTACATTGTCATAATGGCATTACCCGAGGGCACATCTGGGGAGTGATACTTGGCATGAAAGGGAGTGCGCTAAATTCAATGTCCTGTGTGGGAATTGAACCCAGGACCATTTGCTCCATGGACCAATGCTCAACTGATCAAGGTAATAGGAGCTGGCCACTTTAGCTGGGCTGTACTAGCCTCTTGCTATCAAGGGTCATTACAATAGCCCAATTTACACTACGCGCAGCATTCCAAGACGTCTTGGCTAAAACGTTTTAGAAAAATTAAGTTGAGTTTACATTACCATTTTCAAGACGTCTTGGGAAATAAGATCGAGTTTACACCTGTTTTCCTAAAACGTCGTAGAGATATGTAGGTATACATGTAAAATGAAAAAGCAGTTCAGTACTGGTTGAAGGACGGTTCAGTCAATATAGCTATTCCTTTCCTGCTTCTATACTTTGTACCCGACTTTGTACTAAAGAATGCATCGGTTTCAGAACTTTGAAATATGTCCTAAAGACAGCATTGTTAAAAGCATGAAAGAGAGCAGGAAGATTTTATGCATAAATTAGGATTATGATAAATCGCCAGGCAAATAAGTTCGTCTCAGTAATTTTGGGATGATAATGGGAACAATGGATAAGACAAAATAAAGGACCATGCGACATATGTAAATGGAAAGTTTCAAATGTTTCGTTCGGCGCAACGCAAAAAAACGGGCTAAGAGCGCTTAGCTGAAACCGATGGATTTACACTCGCTCGTAAAACGTTTTAGCGCTAAGATGTCTTGGCTATGACTAGGGTCCTAAAACGTTTTAGCTAAGCGCTCTTAGCCGAGAGCTCTTTGGTAAATCTGGATTTACATTACATTTGTAAAACGTTTTAAAGCTAAAACGTTTTAGCTAAGACAACTTAGCGCGCTAGTGTCAATCCAACAAATGAGTTCCCAAAAGGACACGTCTAGTTCCTAAGCTTATAGAGGGAGTGTTCTGTAGAGTAGTATACTGGTTCATCACTGGCAACTAACTGCCACCTGTATTGAAACATTCTTCTGTGTTTTAAAAATCCATAAGAATGTGCATCTGCCTTCTGTTTTGGAGTATTGGCTCAAAATTCCACCATAACATTCGGTTTGAATCCAAGGATTGCATACCATATAGATGATCTAACCCCATTCAGATATTCACAGCATCTCTCTCTGTTGCATCATCAGAAAGCCAGAGATGGAGAGGGCATGGGTTACCACATTAATCTAACCCTGAACTACGAGGTATGCTGTGGGGGGGGGCCTTCAGACACTAATACATAACCAGAAGTTGTGATATATAGTATTACTCAAAAACACCTTTCTCTAGTGAACACCTCTCTCTAATGGATACTGTTCCTCCACACATACTCTATTGACTTCTGTATAAATTACCCTCTCTGTAGTGAACACCTTCCAACACTGAGTTTCTTCTAAGCAAAAAAGGTTCAATATTTAGGTTTTACTATACATGTAGAGTTTGATTTTGGTTCTTTGAAAGAGAGCTTCATCTACCTTATATACCAGGCTATTGCCACCAGAGAACAAACTGGCTAAAGAAATTACCATTTTAAGCCATTGAGGTTAATAATGAAGTCACTTCCTATGTTGTACATGTACATGTAAAATCTGTCAAATCCTAATGTCAATAGAACCATCCAAGAGTGTTCAGTTTGGATGGTATCCAATGGTAGATTAATTAAAGTGTAACTAAAAAGTGATATGTTTTTTAAGTTTTCAATATAAATTACAAGACCAAGTTTGTTTTCCTCAATCAAAACAAGTTCAGGTATCCTATACAGATAAGCTATCACTTATCATATAATTACATGATTAAATACAGTAAAACGTGTATGTACAAACACCTCTCTTATCTGAACACCTGGAAAGTGAACCCTTCTTGCAGTCCCATTTTTTAATCTTCCAAAGACTTCAATGTTTAAAATGATGTCAGATTAGACAGGTTTTACTGCGCATGAAGAAAACTGCATTTTTATAGTAAATTGCACTTGTACGGACTTTTAAAAGTAACAAAAATATGACATTTATCAAAACATCAGTAACTGCCTCAAATTAAATTTTTGAAAAAAGAAATTATAAAAGATTTACGTAGATCTAGAGCTCAGCTTTCAACAACCTTTATTTTTGGAACAAACATCACTTTTTATTTGACAGAGAACCAAATGGAGCAAAAAATGATTTTTTATTCATATTACAACTAAAGCAGGCAGCTCACTCAAAAAATACTTAATGACATTTCACATTTTACAGTTTTAAATTCCCTATATGCTATAACATCTGGAAAGTACTTTGCAGATTTGTCTTAATTTTTAGAATTGTCTCCAAACTAAAAGTAGTCTTTTATAAGACTTTGATATCAGCTACTTAAATATAACCTTTTATTAAAGGGCATATTTTATTAAGTTCACATGACCTTCAACTTCCTTCTGAGCTGTGTTGATGTACCAATTGGAAGGTCTTCGGTTAAACCAACACAATCTAATTTCCTTTTCATCATTCATAGAACACTAGTCTCTTGGGGATGATTTGTAGGGTTGTAATTTGTCATTCAAATGTTTTTTTAAAGAGGCAACAAAAGATTGAGAGATGACTCAGTTTTGAATTCTCTTCATGAAAAAGTCTTGATTTTTAAAGCAACTAGCCAATAAATTGTTGTAAATGTAGTGCATCTTTTTGAGATGATCTTTTTTTCAATTCTTTTACAACAAGTCAGAAATTCAAATATTTTTTAGATTTAAGTGACAAACTGACATGCTATCAAAATATGATTTCTAGCATTTTATACTTTCTATCCTTTACTAGGACTTTAATATCAGTACTAAATCTATACTACAGCACTCAGTGAACCAGTTTGACAAGTTAGACAATAAAATAAACTTACATAGCCAAAATCTGTCAACCTGGCATAAAAATCAAATAATATGCATCTATTATCAATATTATCAATACAATTTAATTCGATCTAAATCTTGGAAAGACAAGAAGTGTTATTGAACTCTTTGGACCCATCATGATAAACCATGACATCTCATTTCTTCTCAGCCCTGAGATGTTTCAAGTGGAACAGAAAAATGCTAGAATATCAGAATGCTTTGGACCCCTCATCTTTGATTTTAAAAACATAAGTTGTGGTCTGTAGTTCCTCAGGGGTCAAGTACAGTATAGAAATTTAAACAGGCTTCAAACAGAGTCCAACTATAAATCAGTCAACATACAATGTATTAAATGTAATATGATTTTGTTGAGCACAATGCTTTATTGTATTGACTTACTTAAGCTAAAATAACATTCAAATAATTTAAAATTTGTTGTGATTTTAACTATGGCTAATCTGGTACATAAACCTGGACTGAATTTCTTTTTTATTGAAACATGAAAAAAAATCACAGCCTGTATATAATCTACCTGTAAGAAGCTATTGTTATTCAATTTTTTCTAGATAATATATTTTACGACTTTTATTTCATTGAATAATTCCCACAACAGGAAGTAGGCAGGTGTGGGGTATTTTTATCAATACCACGTAATAGATTTAAGCAGTTTATAATAAGCTTAAGCCCGAAGATATTTTAAGGAGTAAATCTGTTCGGGATTTGATTCACAAGCTGAGCTGGCATCATTTATTAGAACTGTAGATTGTCAACTGAACGAATGCTCTCTGTGACACTCATGTCAAAACAACCTTACCATATCTATAGTATGAACAATATAAGCAATCACTTATATACAAATAAGCAACTTTGTTACCTCTTATTATCTCCTGCAGTTAATGAAAACACAGAATAAAATCCTGTTTATGTTGACACATTCAAAAAACCAAAACTTGACCTTTCCAATGACCTTAAAGGAAATAGAAAGTGTAAAATGTTTATAATTTCTAAAGGGCAACACTATGAAAGAAACTTTTCAAAAAGAAGGTTTCATTAGGGTGTATAAAAAGTGCATTATTAGTATTAATAATTACAGCTTAGGTCTATTCTAATCTTTTTTCAATATTTTTGTACTGAACTTCTTGACCTTACCCATGATATGGTTGTTTCAAAAGAACAAAAACAATAAAATTAAGTTATTAGGGTAGCATTAATCGTCTAATTGCACTTTCAGTCATTTTTTCATCGTATTACAATTGGCCTTGGCAACAATATTGATGTGAGAAATGCCCTCGTGTTAGTGTTTGTCAGATTTGTTCAACAAGTCAATTTTCCTTATTTCTGTTTTATTGTTGTTCAGCTTTCCTTATCCATGCTAATATAGAGTCCTTATTTATAAACACCAAAACAGACACTTTCAAACTTAACTGATGGTTATGCCCATATATACACATGAAGATTTTAATAGGATATCGACTTCGTGAGCTAAAACCACAAGAAAAATGCAAATCTACGCAGAAATCCTGCATGAAAAGTCGAATTCTGCGCCAAAATCTGCATGAAATCCCTATCCTGAAATCTTTAAGTGCAAAAGCTGGAAGTTAGAGAATTTTAAACAGATTGCACATTTCCCCTTCGAAATCATCATAACACCAGTTTCTGATGACAAATGACCGTCTAAGATGTCAAGGTGAGTGACAAATATGAGATGAGGTGGTTGACTGGAAAAATCAAGTTTTCCGCGAAATTCTGTGAAAGAATTAAATTCTGCAAAAATTTTGACAACCAAATTTCTGCAGTTAATCTACTGCGACGTGGAATACTAGAATTCAAGTATCTGTGTAAAACACAACTTACCGATCATTGAACATTTTCTTCCACCAATCAGCAGCGTCACTTTTAGTGATGCGGAATGATTCTCCAGTGTAAGTTCCATTAGGAAATATCGCTTTCAGTTCAGCAAACATATGCGAAAACACTAACGACAATTTAATAAGGTTCCTCCGATAATGTGACGAATCTTCAAACATTTTTTCTTTGCCATCTTTGAATAACTTTATTGTCTTTTTACATTTGTTCATTATGTTTTCGACAAAGATCCTGAAGTACTCGCAATCATTCAATATGTGAAGTCTGTCATCATATTTCTGGTAAATTAGTCGAAGATGCTGGTAGGTGTCTGGTAAAATATCCAAAATAAAAGGAGGGCTGTTTTTCAAGTTCATTTTTGGATGTTGACATAACTTCACAACTTTGTCCATGAGTTTCCAGGATTTTTCTATCGTCTTTCTGTCAATGACTAGTTTCGGAGGAGCAACGGCTTCCACTAAAACATCATGAATACGTTCAAAGAAGTTTTTAGACTGCATATTTCTAGATTTATTTGGCATGGCCATTTTCTTCCTGGTTGACATACCTCGTCCCTTCAGCCTATTTTACCCAGTATGCAACACGAGTGCCAACTCTTATAGACTCGGGTAAATAATAACAAATGCGTGATAAATTACAAATATGTGATAGCCATTGGCTTATACAATCATAGATGTATATCAGATACTTTTCTATTGATGAAAATCATGAAAACGTGTATGAGAAGCAGAAATTGAACAACTAGGTCAAATTACGACATTAGAGAAACCCACTTCCGGGCACACGTCACAACCAAAATGGAGGACGAAAATGACACAAGTTGGTGAGTTTCCTTGTATATATGCGTATGCGTCATAAGATATAATATAAGTTATGGTGCGAAGGAAACCTATGATAGTAATGAAAGTGCAGGGTGAATATTATGAGCACAACTCAACGAAGCTCTTTGTTTCAGACTGGTTTGTGTCAGACTCGGATGTCAAATATTTTATTTTTATTTTTTCCGAATAAATTTTACAAAACAAAAAAAGTAGAACAATCTGCGTCCATACAGTTTATGATTTATCAATATAATGTTTGACTTTGCACATGAAGTTTGAAGGATTTGATCTTTTAAAAATGTACTTCAATTGGAGATTTTTTTGCATTTGTTGCCAGTTTGTTGAACATTTCCAGGGTACACTCATTTTTTTATTCTGTGAATCAGTTCATACGGTTAAAATAACGAAAGAATGTGATGTAACCACGTGTCTACTTACTGGCTTGTTCTATGTCATCCATCGGACTAGGTTACATCGTGGAACGCAGCCGGACAGGACACTGAAGGCAACAGCATATCTATCTTGATCTTAGCCAAATTTTGGGAAATTTAGGTTGTCCATTTTGCAAGCTCACGTGACTGACATGTGACACATGTCTGATCACGTGACTAGTTACTGTATCAATCATGTGACTTAATCACGTGTCAATGACATGTCACCCAACCATGTCTTCAAGGAAAACGGAAGTAAATATTTTGGAAAATGTTTTCCGAACATTTGCTACTGATTATAGAAGGCCCAATTACGCAACGAACGAAACTGCTAAATTGTATTTCGTGCCTAACAGGCGCAGTACGCAATGAAAGAAACTGCTAAATTGTATTTTTAGAGCTGTTTATTGATCTATTGATTCATAAAGACCTGAAATGATGCATTCAAATAAGACCACCTCCTAAATGAAAAAACAGTACACATAAGGTGGTGAAAAAGAACGAACTAAAGTTGAAAGATCGCAACGTTCGCTACTTTGTTCAATTCCGGAAATCTCCAAGGGGCTGCAAATGGGAAATTATTTAGATTTTGATTTTATAACCTCAGAATACTGGCTTCATTGTCGTGTTTGGCTGCGTTCCACGATGTGACCTTGTCCGATGGATGACATAGAACAAGCTAGTAAGTAGACACGTGGTTACATCACATTCTTTCCTTATTCTAACCATATGAACTGATTCACAGAATAAAAAATTTAATTGTAATCAACATGATGTAGATTCTTGAATCAGAAAGGATACTTTATCTTTTTCAACATACATGGTTTCAGGGGTATGAAGTCATGCGACACGCAACTCATCTATAACCTTATACTTCCTAATGACATAAACATCACACTTTATGTCATAGAGATGGACTTACTATTTACAGGGTGTCATGTCAAACCCCTCTATACAGATTCATGCATGTCAAGTCCTCCTCAAGTCAAAATTGCTGTATTTACACCTGACCATGTAATTTCTGATACAAAATAAATAGGAAGATATGTGTGTCTATCTTTATTTTTTTTTATTATTTTATTTTTATTGTCCATGTTTTGATTCAAATTTGGTGCAACCTGTCACTTTTAAAATAATCAACACAACCAACTGTCTTTGGGAAATGAAATACCAAAGAAACAAAAACTGTCAAAAATATGTCATGTAACAAACAAATGATCAGAAGGGAGGATAACACAGGATTACACCTCACCCTCCTAATTATGATGATGATGATGAGAGGCTCTGACATTCAGGGTATTAGGAGTCCAAACTGAGTACGGAATTTGAATTTATTAATATTTTGGTAAATGAAATTGCTGGCAGGAGATGGAAAATGCAGGAAGAAGCTTAGCTACTGTGCCTACATGTATGGTGAGGTCACTTTAAATAAATATATAATAATGTTATATATATATTTTATACATATGAGCAAAAGGTAAAGAGATGTTTTTGTTTTTCAGGATTCCAGAGCTTGAGACAGCTCTACTGGAAGGCTGTGATTTTGGACGTGTTAAAAGTATCTGTAATGGCCGCCTATTTCCCGACCACTTGCGACAAGAAATTTGGCAGGTAGCTTACATTTCCGCAGTTAAGTTAACACGAAAAGTGATAACATATTGATATAGTTTCTAACTTCTTTGTGTACTGTGCTCAGCATTTGGGGTTTGGCTGTTGGTGTTGTTGGTGGTCAGCGGTCAGTGGTCAGTGTATGTAACAAATAGGAGGTGATGACATTTTGCATGTTGATGCCTTGTATAAATTTGAAATTCTTGAAATCCATTTGTCCTAACAGTATAGTAAAAGCCATTGAATTTACCCAATCATATACATGATGGTTATTGTATTTTTTAAAAGCATACCCCAGATAATACCGAACCAAGCTGTGCAAAAAGCCTTTTTGTTGAATTAAAAGATTTCAAAGGATTTCTTGGACAATCACATTTGACACCAAAGGGAGAATCTTTCACATATCATCTATGACTTTTACTTGAGCATGGTGTATTTAGTGTCAGTTTTTTATTTAGAAATATTTTGAAATAACATAAAATAATAGACTGAGACTGAAAATAAAAAGAGTGAGCCAAACATATTATGAAATTATTTGATAGTATTATAATAGCAGTTTTTGGAACAAAAAAGTTAAAAGATCATACAGCTTAGAATGTATATTCAGAGGTTTAAGGTTTTACTTACCTTTTAACATGAAGAAAATGGAATTGGTAGCTAAAAAATCAGACAGATCTAAAGTTTGATGTGTTAGTTTTTTAGAAAAACTGTCATCAAGTACTTCTTTAGTCCCAAAGAACACCAAAAAACAATTTTTATAAATTGTGAACTCTAGCACTGGTCTAATCTATTTTACCACAAATGATATCTCTGACTAAATTTCCTTATACAGGTAGATTTGTGTGATAGTTTTCTTCATATTACTTGTTTATATTATGAGACTTCTTACAGAACTGTTATATATATTGTAGATACATGTACATGTATATTTTCTTCCACTAGTAGGCATTTAGAAGTGATTCACCAATTTTCAAGTGTTTATATTTAGTATACAACATTGATATACATTGCACAAGGAGAGTCAAAAATAGTAACCAAAACAAATCTCAATAACTCAGTCATCTAGTATGAGTCTTAAGTCATATATGGCAGTATTGAGCCTTGTCCAATGTTCCTTCATTCTACAAAGTTTCATTGGTCTATTAATTCTCAATGGTCACGATTTTATGGCCATTTTACAAAGCATGCTCCAAATGCTAAATCATTTCAAAATCAACCAATATAAACCCCCAGAATTTTATCTTCAAGGCTATTTCAAATATAATGTGTTCACTAGCTACCCTAGAGGCATCAGAGAGTTGAAACAAGAGATTAGAAGGAAAATGAGAGCCGTTACATAAGATATGTGTGAGCGTGTAGTCAGAACACAACACCTGATGCGTTCAAGTTTGTCTCCAAAGACAAGACAAGGCATTTTGAGCATGTTTTATAAAATGGCCATAAAAACATGACCATTATAAATAGACCAATGAAACTTTGTAGAATGAAAAAACATTGAACAAAGTTAAATTATGCCAAATATTGCTTAAAACCCATACTTGATGATTGAGTTATTAAGATTTGTTTGGGTAACCTTTTTTTTGGCTCACCCTATATATCCATTTCTCTGTTAAATGTTTCAGATATGCCTTGGTGTTGTTGGCAAGGGAGACAGCCTTTCAGAATTTGATGGTCTTTATGACATGTCTGAACAAGGCCAAGTGAGAGAAGACTGTCAAAGTCTCGTTGGTATGTTACACCTTTTCAACACTTCTGCTTCTATTTACTTATGCCCCTTTGTTCATTTGATAAGTGGCGACATTTAATCATTGTATGATTTGAGAATTCTATGATTTGAGAATCCTTGAGTTTGATTCATGCTCTTTCAATGATGCATACTCCACAGTCAACAGTTACTCTGTGTGTGTGGCAAATACAATTTAAGTGTCACCGATCTTTGATGTGTTACATTAACAGATTTAATTTCATATGTGTTTGACTTTCTATATGTTACAGATATAATTTTCGTATGTTGCAAATACAGTTTTTAAGTGTTACAGACAATTTTTAAAGTGTCACATTTTTAATTTCCTATGGCTTACAGATAGAATTGGTAATGAGGAAGAAGAAAAAGTTGCAATTGTGAGTGACCTTGAGACAATACTAACTCTGTATTGTAAATCCCGTGGAGCAAAATACGGAAGCAAAAATGGCTGGTTGGAGATACTCCAGCCAATGTTGGCACTAAAATTGTCCCGCAGTGATCTGTACAATTGCTTTTATGCCATTCTTACAAGATTCATCCCAAGGTAAGACTTTACTGCTACGTATGTCATATTTTTATGATATATGTATATTGCAGGGTGAGTTTAGCATAATGGTGTTGTAAATAAGAAGTTATGAAGTAAGAAGCACATTGTACTCAATGTCATATTGTTCCTTCAGTTGTAACAGCTTCTTCACCTAAGTAGAAATAGATGGTCTTACTTATGCAGTTTGCAATATTAATAGTTTGTGTTTAAATAACTGTATCATTTGAACTTGCGAAAAATATTTGAATCTACTTTAATGTGTATACAAAAGTTCTTTTTAAAATCTGTTTGTATTAAGTAGTTTATAGTCTGTTTTGTTGAATGCTTTAATAATTTTTTGGGGTACACAAAATTTTTATTTCAAATCTTTTGCAGAGAGTGCCACAAAAACGGCAAACCATTCCATTTATTCCGACTACTTTTACTCTACCATGATCCTGAGTTGTGTTCGTTCCTCGACACTAAACGTATCACACCTGATTTGTATGCACTAAGCTGGGTAAGATTCTACCTGTTTTAAGCCATTTATGGAATAAGCTTGACATTGGTTTTTCACATTTCTATTATAATGTTAATAATTTGAGTATAACTAATAAATATATGTTGCCTCATCAAAGGAAATTTCTTTGAATATGTTCGCATATGTCATTTTTAAAAGTGCTGAAGACTTCATAATCATCATATGTTCTTCAACAGATTAAATTGTATTTTGTTAAAAAGATGGCACTGCATTGTATTCACATATAATTTGATTCAATCCACAATGAATAATTGCTGGTATTGAGCAGTTTATAATATATGTACCAGTATACCAGTATGTATTCTTCAGTGAAATAATTTAGATACAAATGTTATGAAAATTGTGATAAATCATTTTTGGCTATATTGTATTTTGTGAGAGTTGCCCAAAATCATGAAAATGTGCTATTTTAATAATTGTAAGACAGGCTTGAAATTAAACCCACTTTCAAAAAATGCCATCCTCTTAAAGAAAGCAGCAATGTTCATTTTTAAGTCACCAATATTATGATACTAGGTGCCTCATATGTGTTATTATATAATCATATTTGTTTTTAGTTTCAAACATTATTTGCATCAACCTGTGATCTGGAGGTGACGCATAAGATGTGGGATGTTTACCTTCTTCATTCAGACCCCTTCCTCATGTTCTTCCTAGCGCTGGTTCTAGTCGTTAATGCCAAGTAAGTAAACAATGCTTCATTTTTATAGGAATACTCATGCAATGCACCAGAAAAAATTAAAAACTTGTGATGATTAGAAATTAAAAAACTGTCATTGTTAAATAAAAATTACTGTATTTATCAGATGTAATACATTTATTAAAAAAAGATTACACCTTGCCTCTGCACCTTTTATTAATTAACTTTTATTGCTATTTTTAAAATGCATTTTAATGCCAATATGTTTCAAACAAATACATTTACAATATAATTTTTGTTGTGTTTGCAGAGAACAAGTGATGGCCATGGAAGATGACAGTAAACAACAAATAATAGGTAAGACTCATAAATATAGTGTTTCTCAACGTTATATATAGGTATGTCTTATAAATATAGTCTACACGCGTGGGAATATTACAGTTAATCTCAAGGTTGTTTATTGTTATTGGCTTCTATTTTGTCATCATTAATACCTGTTTTATCTTGTTAGGAAAACACCAATCTCCATTAGTATTATGTGAAGGTTTTTTACCTCTCATAATTAATGCAAAAAACATGTCATTTATCATATAGGCATTATCTACTGTCTATGGATTTATTATTTTTTATACATTTAGTGTCATCGATGCTGTTGTATATATCACATTTGCGTAGGATCTTTGCAAAGCCGCCGGGACTTTGAATTTCACATTGAATTTCATGACTTGTGAATTTTTCTCTAAATTATTTGAAAAAATAATGAATTAAAAGGTTATGAGAACAAGTTATTATGAAAAGTAATCCTCGAAATCTCTGTTTTTCATGAGATCATTTATAAAAGGTGTTGTCCATAGGGGGAAGCACATCAGCCATTCGTTGAACTTACTTTTGAAAACCCAAGAATAGTGTGGGAGCAAAAGTCCAAATAAGAGGTTCCGTGTCCTTTTTAGAGGCGAGCTAAGCGACATATGTTTTCATGAACTAGAAATGATACTGATCAAGAAAAATGATGTTGGCAATTCTGAATCCGCGACGGCGTTGCTATGGTAACCAAGTAAATATGCCACGCCCACTTTTAGGGGCTCTTTTCAGTGTATGGCCCCTATCTCTGCCATTATTGCTCAGATTTAGATGAAATTCACACCAAATGGAAGATAATGGATAATGCAATCAGGAAATATTAAGTTGGCAATTCTGAATCCGATATGGCGTTGCTATGGTAGCAAAGTAAATATCCCACACCCACTTTTAGAGGCTCTTTTCAGTGTTTGGTCCCTATCTTCGTCAATATTGCCCAGATTTAGGTGACATTTGTACCAAATGAAAGGTCATGGAAAGATCAATCAAACGGTTTATAAAATATGCAAATAAGGTCATTTGCATATTAATTATGACGTCATAACCGTTTGTTCTTGCATATTTTATTTTAATCATGATGTATAAATCTGGGAAATTATGGTCTTTAAAATGGTCAGTAATGCTCCTAAGTAGTTAATTAGTTCATTTCTTTTCGATGAGTTTATTAGTTTATTTCATTCATACATGTATGGTCATAAAAATTGAAAAAATGTAATGAAAATATCCAATTCAAGCTGTTGCTATGGTAACAGTATGTTGCAAAACTATCTGCTGTGAAAACAATTCTTTGGGAAATGTTACATTTTGACTAGTTGACTGACATGTATTCCTTTTAAAATTTGATGGCTGGCAGAAAATAACCTAATAACGATAGAAAATTATATAATTTGGATTGTGTTATATTATGATGTCATAATGGCAATTATTAATCAGGGGCGCAACCAGCTTTCAATCAGGGGGGAGGGGGTGCAATATCGGCATAAGCAACTCAAAAAGTTTAATTTGACTTGAATTTTACAAAAATTCCTTCAAAATTGAGCTAGAAGCTTCAAGTCAAAAGCATTTTTAAAGCTCTTCTGCCGAAAGAACAATGGAAATGACGTCTTGGATCTCCTGTTCTAATGGTTCTATTTTTATTGCTAAATGGGGGGGGGGGGGGTTGCCCCAATCACACCACCTGGCCATCCCTATTTTAGCTGTTGTATTCAGGTGAATATGCCATCCCCACTTTTCAGGTCTTTTCCAAAGTCTTGATTCTATCAGTTGTCATGATGATAGCTCTGGTGTATATGCAATTTTCATCAAATGGAAACTAAAGAATGAGACGATGCATGGGGAATGTAGATTGACAGACTGATATACCTGTTATGGTATGACTACCATAGCTGTTTTCGAAATTATTTTCTTGAAATAAGGTAAAATTGCTCAAGATGATTCCAAATTGGTATCTTGTCCTTTTACATTCACCATAAAAGTAGGTCAAAGCTGAAAACAATGATTGATTTACATTCTATTTCTTTACACGTATAAAGTATGATCAAGAAATATTATGGGCAATTCTGAATCTGCGATGCCGTTGCTATGGTAACCAAGTAAATATGCCACGCCCGTTTTTAGGGGCTCTTTTCAGTGTTTGGCCCCCATCTCCACCATTATTGCTCAGATTTTGATGAAATTCAGACCAAATTGAAAGTAATAGATAATGCAATCAGGATATATTAAGTTGACAATTCTGAATAAACGATGGCGTTGCTATGGTAACAAAGTAAATATGCCCCACCCACTTTTGGGGGCTCTTTTCAGTGTCTGGCCCTTATTTTCTTCATTATTGATCAGATTTAGATGAAATTTGCACCAAATCAAAGGTAATAGATAGAGCAATGAGACAGTTAGTAAACTATGCAAATAGGATGATTTGCATATTGATTATGACGTCATAAATGTTTGTTCTTGCATATTTTATCTTAATCATGATGTATTAATCTGTGATATTATTGTCTTTAAAATAGTCAGTAATGCTAACTAATTAATTAGTTTATTTCTTTAAGTTGAGTTTATAATTTTATTTCATTCATACTTGCATGGTCATAAAAACTGATGGAATCAAAAATGTAATGAAAGTGTCCAATTTATGCTGTTGCTATGGTTACAGCACGTAGCAAAACTATCTGATGTAAAAATAATTCTTTGGGAAATTTTACATTTTGACTAGCTGACTGACACATGTATTCTTTTTAAAATATGATGACAGAAAATAATCTTATAACTATAGAAAATTATTTAATTTGGATTGTGTTATGTTATGATGTCATAATGGCAATTATTAATCAGGGGTGCAGCCAGCGTTCAGTCAGGAGAGGGGGATTGCGCTTGTGGCATAAGCAACCCAAAAATGTTTTTAAGATTTGTTTTGAATTTTACAAAATTGATGCACCTTCCTTCAAAACTGAGCTAGAAGCTTCAGGTCAAAATGATTTTAAAGCTCTTCTTCTATTTAATGGTTCTATTTTTTTGTTTATGGGGGCGCACCCATTGCACCCCCTGGCAATGCCTATGTTAATCCAATATGATGTTGCTATGGTAACAAGGTGAATATGCCATCCCCACTGTTCAGGGCTTTTTCAAAGTTTCGCTTCTATCTTTGTCATGATTACAGCTTGAGTGTGTATGAAATATTCACCAAATTGAAGCTAAAGAATCAGACAATGCATGGATTATGTATATTGACTGACTGGCATACCCATCGTGACATTAATAGCTGCTAATGGTTTTGAAATCCGAAAAATATGTTCAACGTCAATTTACATAAAAAAATATCATTTTATGGTATAGGTCAATACTTAAGCCTATTTCATCTTTTTAGGTCATGTAGACATAACTGTACCAATTTTGAACCGGTTGGTTTGATATCGGATTTCAAAACCAAAAGCATATCTTAAATCAGGGGCTTCCATACTCCATAATTGTAAAGAAATGGAATCAATCATAGTTTTCAGCTTTGACCTCATTTTTATGGTGAATGTCAAAGGACAAGGTTCCAATTTGGAATCATTTTGAGCAATTTTACCTTATTTCAAGAGATAATCACAAAAAGCAGCTACGATACCATAACAGGTACTGTGCTCTTGGTATTTTTCGCCTGCAATTTAGTTTCGTGCTTGATAAAAAAGCAAAAACTAATCTTTGCGAAATTGTCGCGGGGATTTCTGAAATTTAGTATTACAATTTGTGTTTTGTAAAATGTTTGTCAAGTGTTTTAGGCGATTAATGGGATAGTTAGTACCAATGTCTGTTACAGAGGAATCATTTTGAGCAATTTTACCTTATTTCAAGAAAATAATCACAAAAATCAGCTATGATACCATGACAGCTACTTAGTTTGTCAGTCAGCCAATCTACATTATTCATGTATTGTCTAATTCACCTAGCATATTCACCTTATGGTTACCATAGCAACATCAAGTTGGATTAACATAGGCAGTGCTTGGGGGGGGGGGTGCGCTGGGTTCACCTACCCCCTCATATCCGATAAAAATAGAACCATTAGATAAAAGAAGGCTTTCGACTTGAAGCTTTTTGCTAAATTTTGAAGGAAGTTGGATCAATTTTTGTAAAATACAAAACCTATCTTATAAATACTTTTGGTTGCCTGTGTCACGATCGCAGGCCCCCTTCTGACTGAAAGCTGGCTGCGCCCCTAATTAAAAATTGCCATTATGACATCATAATATAACAAAATCCAAATTTAATAACTATGGTTATTAGATTATTTTCTGTCATCAAATTTTAAAAAGAATACATGTCAGTCAACTGGTCAAAATGTAACATTTCCTTAAAGGAATATTCCTTGCCAAACCATCTCTCTCCTCATATGATAGCTATAACCATATGTATGCTTGCAATATTTAGCAAAACACGCAAAAATGTTTTGATATGGTCAAATTTGATCACTTAGAAATGTGATGCTCAATTCCAGTAAGCTGCCATCTTTTAAAATTTCACACAGGAAGTGATGTCATCGACTCTCAACTTTGCATATAGCATTAGGTGAGGAGCTATTAAGAATTACAAAACCAGCTAAATATTCTTTTTCAACTTTGTATCTTATTTAATCCTTCTGAAAATCTCTTCTTTTATTCTAAGTTGACAAGCCCTGAAAATATTTTTGCACAGAAAGTAATGATCACTTGTCTAGAAGTGATTTTGTGCTACTTTCCTATACTGTTATGGGCAAGGTTATAGAAGTTGAGAGTTGATGACATCACTTCCTGCAAGAAATCTTAAAAGATGGCAGCTCACTGGAAATAAGCACTAGATTTTTAAATGATCAATATTGGCCATATTAAAACATTTTTCCATGTTTTGCTAAATATGGAAACTATATATATGATTATAGCTACCATATCAAGAGAGAAAGGGTCTGGCAAGGAATATTCCTTTAAGAATTCTTGTTTACAGCAGGTGGTTTTGTTGCATGCTGTCACCAAAGCAACAGTGTGAATTGGACACTTCCATAATATTTATTCAACTATTATGATCATACATGTGTGAATGGAATAAACTAATAAACTCAACTAAAAGAAACAAACAAGACTAGTTAAAAACATTATACGGACCATTTTAAAGACAATAATTTACCAGATCTATACATTATGATTAAAATAAAATATGCAAGAACAAACAGTTAGGACGTCATAATTGATATGCAAATCACCATATTTGCATATATTAAAAACTGTCTGATTGCTCTATCTATTACCTTTCATTTGGTGCAAATTTCATCTTAATCTGAGCAATAATGACTATGTTATGGGCCAAACACTGAAAATAGCTCCGAAAAGTGGGCGTGGCATATTTACTTTGTTACCATAGCAATGCCATATCGGATCCAGAATTGCCAACTTAATATTTCCTGATTGCATTATCCATTAGCTTCCATTTGGTGTGAATTTCATCTAAATCTGAACAAAAATGACAGAAATAGGGGCCATACACTGAAAAGAGCCCCTAAAAGTGGGCGTGGCATATTGACTTGGTTACCATAGCAACGCCGTCGCGGATTCAGAATTGCCAACATCATTTTTCTTGGTAAGTATCACTTATAGTTCATGAAAATATATGTCGCTTAGCTCGCCTCTAAAAAGGACACGGAATGACCTTTGCTCCCATACTAGAAGGTCATTTTGAAAAATACAAACCACAAAATGGATGATCAATTCTGCCCTTTTTGCTATTTTCAGAGTATCAATTTTATTTTGAGATCACATCAATTATTACTTTTAAGTGCTCAAATGTTATATGTTCTATTACTTCATATATCAGTTTTACTTCTGAAACATATACATTTGTAGGTTAAGCCGATGTTAATGTCTTCTGCTTGTTGTGTCAATTGGTAGATGGATAATTTAATACTTTATGCCTCGAGATATTTCCTTAGAATACGATTTCAAGATGTCTTGTGAAAATTTGATTGAAAATCTATTTCCCTGTGGCTAAAACCTTTTTCGAAATGTATTAAGTTATGTTTGATTTAAATCACCCGTAGGCTTACATGACTGTGGAAAATTGTACCCATGTTCATAGTTTAAGGACCATGTAGTCATGGCAACATAAAAAAACAATTCTTCGATTTACCAGTAACTTAATATAAGCATGTGGTTTTCTTAAACACAGTCCATAAATGGGTCGATTGAATGACCTCTGAGTGAAAACAGTGATATGGGATGTTAGAGTTTGATTCATGATATTTTGGACCAGATTTTCAATATAATAATGTTATTAGTGAGTCAATAATTCACACATTCTGCATGAAGATGTTACAGTCTCAATCGCCATCTTTTTAAATTGTTGATATTCTAAGTAAATAGTGATTTTTATACTCAACCAAAAATTGGTTTAAAAAGGTGAAATACTCAAAAGTTGAAATTGATTTAAAAAATGGTGTAAGCCTTATTAAGTTGACTTTGATTTAAGGAGTGTTCCATGTAAGACCCTTTAAAGTTTATTGCAAAATTAAAATTGCCCCTAATGTTTTTTATAAAAGTTTGGCAATCAATTGCATGTCTATTATTGTTAACTAAAGGAATAAATTTATGTACATGTATAAAAAAAATTTTATTGCATGTTTTATAGAAACGTTGCGTGCTGTTCCCGCTGCACTTGAGAGTGAGGACATCGAGGATTTTTGCTCTTTGGCCCAGTATTATTCCTCAAAAACACCACAGTCATTTAGAAGGGTGAGTGATTTTTGTAATATACATGTATCTGTTTTCTGGATTGGATCCTTTTTGGTATCCACTCGAGGGTATTGCCCATATCCACTCATGGATAAAAATGATATCCCTCAAAAATCATAGGATGTCCTGTTTTTAACCATTTGTTCATTGATGACCTTATAAATATTGGGAATATCTGATGTTGAATACCTAAGCACAAGTACCATGATGAGAAAGACCAAGACATATTTCAAGACACAATTAGAAATACAAAGAAAACATCAGGAACTTGGAACTCTTGGAACTGCCAAAATGGAAAAGATCAAGGAGTGCTACAAAACACAGTGATTGCTAGAAACATCCAAAAGTGCACCTAGGTCAACCAGTCTTCTGAAATAAGATGTTGGTATATCAATTTTTAATTGTTAATGGTTTAATTAGTGCTGTTGGGTAGTAGTTACCAGTAATTGCTTTATAACAAAAGGTATTAACAATATAAGGCTACATAAAATCGTAGGAGTTATTAGGTACTATGAATTATTTACCGACATAGATTAACAAAGCTTTATACGATATGGAGATTTAAATACAAACAAATATTTCAGACTATCTATTAAGATGAATTGCCGAATCAATGAAAGTGCAACAAGCGATATTCACCTAAAATAGTATGAAATATTTGTTTTATTATTCACTGCTATATTCACCACTCTTGTTGGGGATGTCTCATAAGAACAATGTTATGTTCTTTTTTTAAACAGTATGTTGACATTAAATACACTTTTATGTAAACGTTAATACATACAATAAATAATGTAAATTATCGAAGCTTTAATTATTGAAGATTTTAGATTTAATTGTAGAAGAGACCTTTAATCATTTCCATTAAATCAGTTTATTTTCTCAATTATGTACAATATCATACTTAACACAATTACATGTATACTTCTTATAATATTTCACAAAACAATGTAAATGCCATTATATGGCACCTCATACTCCCTCTTGGGCATTATTGCCACTAAAACCTGTAAATATGTGACATTGATTTTAATAAAAAAAAATTTAAAAAAATAAAAATTTTGAAATGACTCGAGAAAATGTTAATAAATAATTAATCGACAAAAAGTGAATTGCTCCACTGTCATCTGCCTCATTGCAGGTAAATTTAAGGAATTTTAGATTTACACTGGATGAAAAACACCACAGCTGGTGAATACATCATTTGACTGATGTCACAAGCTTTGCCGGTGAAAACATCATCTTATTTTTGTCACATGTATGGTGTAGACCAATAAGAGAGAATATGATAGTGATATCTAATTAACAGACATATTTCCTGATTGATAATTGAAATTCAGCGTACATTGTAGCTGGGACAGGTAAAACCATTTGCCAACGATAATGTCATAGCCCACTTTCGTTGTCTGATATTGTTAAATGCGTAGAAAATATGGTTCAGTAGGGCATTGTTGTTATAATTGATAAATGATATTCAACTGTTTATTCTTTATACCCTCGGGTAATCAAAATGATTCCATTTGTATATAAACAAAATCATATTATATTATTTTAGGTGTAGAATTTGTTTAGTTAGTATTTTGTTCTGTTTTTGTGTTTTTCTTTGGTATCAGTATTTTGTTCTCACAGTTATTTTGTTTCAATCATGTCATCCTGACACCATTCCTGTATTATGTCAGGAAATTGAAATTTTGAAATTAAAGAGAGAATCAGATCTAGCAAGCAGGCCAACCAAAATTTGTTTCAATTTTAGAATTTTTCTGGCTCATTTCATTCCTTGTCATGTCTATTTTCTATAAATCCCCAAAGTGCACACTCTATCTCAGGAAAACTAAAGATCTTTACAATAATGTTCTATAAGAATGGTTACCATTCTTATTATTTGGGAGAATTTTACATTTTTCACCAACTTTTGTACTTTGAATCCGTAATAACTTCACCAATTTATGACATATCGTAAATCTTTTTGAAGATATTGTATTTGAGATTGTTCATAATAGATTGGTAGGTCAATTGACTAGATGCAAGTAGAAAAAATCTTGATTTACGCCATTAAATATTCAAAATCCAGTCAAAGCGATGTTATATTTGAAATCTACATGTAAAATTACGTCTAGAAATATGGTTTCGAAAATTGTTTATCAAGTTTGAAAATTTAATTATTTTTGAAAGTGTGACTTCTAGTTCGGGTTGATTCTCCATAGAGCCCATGTTACAAAATCACAAAAAGTAAAATATGTTTTCTTGTATTGGTCAGATAACATTTTCATTTACTGGACATATTTTGATTTGCATATCTATTAGATACATAAGGGTTATATGAAAATTGTACCACTAAAACAGATGTAATTTAAGTTAAAGGGAACTGTCTACTATACCTGCCATGCTATCTGATCCGAGCGAGCCACCTGGTGGTGAAACTGGTTATTGTAGATGTTGCTTGTAATGGTCCTTTTTCCATATACATGTAGCTTTGAAATCTCGTTTAAGTCTTGTTTTTTATGAGATTTTAGGAGATCTGCATTTTTAACCGCTAAAGATTAACTTTTTCTACTATTTGATGGCATATTTGAATTCTGTGTGTTTTCTATCGAAACAACTTTGATTTGCACTGTTATTTACCTTTATTCAAATTCTAATGATTTTCTTGTTGTCTTAAAAAGGTCGGGCTAAATCCCCATTGACACAATGCTGAAAAACCTTTAAAAGTTCATTTACAAGACTCACAATTTTAATGTGAAATCACAATCCACATGTCAATAAGATCATATAGTTACATTCCAATGATGTTTTAAACTTCTTAAATCAAGAAATTAAGTGACTCTGGCAATACATTTACATGTATTCTAGCCCTACCCTAGCCCTACCAATACCCACGATGCCATCTATTTTCCATTTATATGGAAAAGGGTCAATTCTGTCACCCCTATATATCTGTTTCTGCCCTTAAGGTTTAGCATGTCAGGAAATTTTTCAGAATAAAAATAAAAAATGTCAAGGAAATATCAATGAATTTTATATCAGAGATGAAAAGCCATATCAAAGTTATTGATAAAATACATTGGCTTTATGAGGACCGTTTTTTGAATGAGGAAATGAATTATTGATATAAGCCATCGCTTGTACAAAACACTAGATCGGTTGAAAGGGGCACCAGAGCACAAACTAAATACAATCAAAACTTTTAAACAGTATATAAGTTACATTGTGGTTTCATCAGCCTCTTATGTCTCAGGATTCTTTAGAGATTTATTATGATAGAATTACACTTTTGATCTATTTACCCTTACCAGTGCAACCCATTAGGGGAGGTTTTAATCCATCGTTCATCATGTGACATAAGATTTAATCAATATAATAGAATAGAAAGTTGAGACCTTATAGCCATTAAAATGAGATATTGTTTTGTTTTATGACATGGAGCACCAAAGGAACATACAGCGTGTAGATACAATATAAAACCATTTTCTGACCATGATTGCACCATGACTGATATTTTGAAAAGGAGTGGTATCGATATGGAGAACTGAATTCAACAATGTTTTTCTCTTAAACCAATTATTGAAAACATTCTGTAATAAAACACGGTATTTTATATAATGCTGACTGATTGACAACAATTTAATGCGATAATTATTTAGAAATATTTTATATATAGCTGGCATCAAATGTCGGAATCGTCGATTGTCGGTCGAATGCTCTCTGCGACACCCATGTCGACACAACGCCTCTTGATCGACAGTCGGAACTCACAACATAATAAGCTATTTCCCTATGAATTAAAATCTTTGTTACTACCTGCTGTATGGTGTTTTTTAGTGAAGTTTTACCGCCTACATTTTCAAATTTTCTTTTTTGTTTTGATCGACTTCCTGCTCTCGAATTAGGTCTCGGGGCCCCTCGAGATTTACCCTCGAGATTTATTTTCAATGGCTGCCCGGAAATAACAACAGAAATCATAGTTTTATGTCTATTTATTGCTTTTTCCTCAAAGTCTGATACTTAAACATGGTTTACCTGTTAGTTAGATATAAAACATACAACTAAGGATGACTATTGTGCATCGTATTGCTAATTACAAGCCTAGAAAATCTAAAATTCAGACAGATTTTCTTCAAAATTTTTTTCATTTTTCGAATATCATTGGACCCGACAATGTCGATATCGTTGTCGATCGAGAGCTCCGATATATCGACATTAAAATCCTATTCGATGCCAGCTCTAATTTTATATAACTGTTTTTGTTAACATTTTTTGTTTTTTTAGTGCAATCGTTTCTGCTCCTTTCTTCCGAACCTTGTTGGAACATTAGATAGCATATACAACATGTTTTTAGACCTCTCAATATTATAGTTATACAAAGGAATTTTTGGTTAATTTTAAAAAAGTATTCAAAAAATTAAAACAAAATCCACCCAAAATAGATAAAAATCAAGATAAACCTTTTATTTCATTAATAAGATACTTTTTTTAAATCAACCAAAATTTCCTTTGTACAATTACAATATTGAGAGACCTAAACATGTTGTGTTTATGTCGTTTTGTTCCAATGAGGTTCAGAAAGATGTTTCATTTCACTCTTGAAACATGATACCAAGAACAAAACAAGTGTTTGATGTGTTTTCTAAAACAATATAGATGAAAGTATATATATTTTTTTCAAATTATATTGTTACCATTCAAAAGATGACCATTAAATTGACGATATGTTAAATTTTTAGATTTTTTATGACTGGTTTAAGAGAAACGTGAGTTTAAAAAGTTCTCCATATCGATACCACTCCTTTGTATACATCTTTGTGAATACATTGATTGGCGTTTGATTTATCTGGCACTCATCTGTTATGATCGCAAAGAGGTGTTTGTCTGAGCATATTTCATTTGGTGTGTTTATAGTAGATTGTGTTGTTGAGCATGAAAAATGGACACCTAAGGATAAATACATGATTGTTCCATTAGCATTTCCGCAGGAGGGACAATTTGGGAGGCCAATCTTATCCTTGACAAAATTATATTGTTTCCTAAGCAAATACCTTTTTGATTGTGCACACAGCAGAGATACAGGCCAAAAATTGCTCTTAATACGTCGATCATATTTTTTTTAAAGATTGCAATGCTCTTGTTGATCATATTTTTTGCTGTGCCATGTATATATAGACCCGAATGTAAGGCTCTCACATCTATTTAATAAACCTATGACTGCCTGGTATTGTTTAATAAGAATTGGCATTAAGGAACTACATGTACCTTCAACTTAAAAGAGCAATATAGTACCCTACCACATCCTATTTTACGTTGATACCAGACAATATTAATATGGCTATATACATTTGTAACCTACGATCACAACATAAAAGGACTTCGTTAAAATATGGTCCAGATAAAGTTATCAAAATAATTTTACATTATGCACAAGAATCAGTAGAAGCTTCTTTGCTTCACAGTAATGCAAACATTTAGACCAAATACAGAGCAACCAATTGATATGTAAAAAACACCTATGAGCGCAATTAGGTCGTACGATGCAAGAAAATTATACATTCATCATGATATTTGACATTGTACATGTACATTAGTGGAAAGCAGCTGTGTTCAATTTTTAATATTTAAGTATAAATGCAACCGAGAGTAGCCTACCAGCAATATCACTGCACACTATTTAGATCACTTTAAATCAGACGTTCATAAAATTAATATCCCAGCAGACTCGATGCACTTGAGTCTTTTTGAATGACTTCACAAATAAACAAAAAGTTATATATACATATAAACCACATAAAAACCCAACAATAGAATTGCACTCTTTGATTTATATACAAGTATACTTTCATTATATGGTCATTTCAATTAATGATTGATTAATATCCCATCAAATTAGATGCACCTGATTCGCCGAATGCACTTAGCGATCATATTTGGTGAGATTATGGGTAATATTCCAAGCAGTTGATTGGTTGAAATCTGATAATTGATGCCTCCAGCCATAAGCGTGTTGTCGTCTTAGTTCTATGTTTACTCAGGCAACATTATTAAGTATATCAAAACATGTAGAGAAAATAAAAAATGTATGAATTTATCTCTAGGCTTAAGGTCTTTTGTGTTGAACCAGTTAAAAGCAAGGTGAAGCATGGATGTAGGCGATGAAGAAAACAATCCTGCCAGTGTTGAATAAAAGAGATAAAGGAGATCATTAAAAGATCAAGTGATATGAAAAATTGCAGGAGTTAATGTTATCGAAATAGAATATAAACGATAATGTGACAATGATAAGCTGGACACAGGTTTTACATTCATGAATATTTTTGAACTTGAACACAAGATGTAAATAGGATAATTCCAAAATAGATTTAGTTCCATCGATACCTTGAATTAAAGGAAGCAGACATAATGCAAAGTGGTAACTTAAAACATCACATGTACAGCATACAATGGATAATGTATTTTAAAATGTGATAAGTCAAACAGTGGATGATTTGGATAAAACATTTTAGAAATCATAGATCACAGTAGAAGATATGATTGAACTTTAATTGAATTGAATTGTACTTTGTGGATAGTAATTTGGATCACAATGGAAAATGTAACTGAAGTAACCCAAGATGAGGGTCCTCCTATTAATTACACAGACTCAGAAGCTGCTGTTATAGGAGTTGTCCTTACTTTGATAGCCCTAGCCACTGTGTTTGGGAATTTACTTGTCGTGGTTGCAGTATGCACGACACAAGCTTTGAAAACGATGACTGGATATTTTATAGTATCGTTAGCATGTGCTGACATTGCTGTTGCCATTTTGGTCGTCCCTTGGAATATTTACCAGCTTGTGACTAATCTAAACTGGCCATTCGGAACTGTTTTTTGCAGATTGTTCATTAGTTTTGATATTATGTTTACATCAGCGTCAATATACAATCTCTTGTGTATATCTATTGATCGTTATATCGCAATCAGCAAACCGTTTCAATATCAACAAATGATAACTCAACGTACTGTCATATTTATGATCGCAGCTTGTTGGTTGATGCCTATCTTTATCTCATTTGTTGCAATATTCGCTGGGTGGAACCTTGGGGAACTAAAAGACAAACATGAAGAGTTGACAGCCTCTGGAGCCTGCGTCTTCTTGTATAGCCTGCCATTTTCAATTGCATCCTCAATGTTTTCATTTTTCATCCCATCATGCATCATGATCGTGCTCTACACAAAGATATTTTTGATCGCTCGCAGACAGGTGCGTCAAATCCAAAGTGTCGAAGTCGTAATTGATGAATTGAAAAAGCAACAAACCAAGACAATGAAGCGCGAAACAAAAGCAGTGAAAACATTGGTTATCATAATGGGGTCTTTCCTTATCTGTTGGAGCCCATTCTTTATCACATACGTGGCAGATGCAATCATAGGATATCAGATTGCGTTTATTCCATGGACAATAATATCATGGATGGGATGGATTAACTCAACAGTAAACCCATGGCTTTATTATGCCAGTAATTCTCATTTCAAGCGAGCATATACCAGGATTTTAATGTGCGGACGTAGCAATAATAATGTTATCGATATAGACTACAGTGGGACAAGACAATCATGATATTAAATGGGAGCTCCATGTTTCTCTGTTGTTCATGATTGATGATCCAGAAAGACAGTTAGAACAAGATGTTCATTGGAACAAGTGTTTTCTTTAGTTTTGAAAGAAATCTATTTAATGCTCCACTGTTGAAGTTCTTTCTTGTCCATGTTGTTTCTCTATCTAATGATCGTATGCTACTCTATGTAAAATAGCCAGCACAGATATTGTTGATATCATTGTAATATTTCAAATGCTATTGGTTATTGCCATCATATGCATCTGATATCAATTTACTGATCATAACACATTGCACCAAAGTCACTGGGCGCTACCTGTATATTTATGAATTAATTTCAAACCCATATTTCTAATCAATTTTGGAAATGATCAAAGAATAAATCTAGATTTTTCTTGATATCATGTTTATCAGCTGCTGCAAATATCAATATCAACACTCGCTTGTGATGATATTGATACTGACTTGATGAAAAATTATATTGCTCAAAATTATATGATATCAAAAACATATTTTGAATTAAGATGTTTTAAAACACCGTGAAATGCAAATAACTTGACAGTAAATACAGAACTGTGTTTTTCAGGTCCATTCAAGTTTAAGCATGGCTTTCTAGTCTGTGAAATAAACTTACTAAATAATAATGTCATCGACATAAACAGTGAACACAGAAACATTCTTAATCAACATTTTTCAATTATTGTATGAAGCTTAATATTGCTTAATACTGTATATATTTTGAAATATAAGCACCATTAATATAAAATAAATGTATTTGTATTCCTTTAATAATCCCTTTAGGGCTCATGTCTGAATTTCCAATGATATTATATGAAATTACAATATGTAATATTAGCATTATCAGCCTCTAGAACTCTTTGAACATCAAACCATGTCCTGAAATGGCCCAAATCTGAAATTCGGAGATTACAATATAGCTTTCATATATTATAAATCAAAGACAAATCATTGGACTAATTCATAGAATGAGGTTTTAAATGTCTACAGAGTGGGCTAAAAAACATGCCAAATCATGCCATGTATTATGTATCATTTCAAAGATAAATCATTTCCTAACAATATGACACCATCCGATTGGAAACGGAGGGAAATTTGAACCTATATAGTCCTTCAAAATGATTACTTTAGCAACTGCAACTAGCACTGATTCAACTCTTGTGACACTCCATATGCTAATGCTTTAAAAGAATAAGAAGAAATTCATATTTATTGTTTTCTATCCAGCTTATGAAAAGTGTGGTGGATTCAAGTACTTGCTGTAACAGTGGGAAGTGTTATTTTGGGCCACTGGACATGTATAGGATATTTCCCTCAGGACATACTCAATATCAAAAACCTCCCATAACATAACCATTCCATATTTGTCCATGCAAAGTTTCTCCTTAAATGTATATATCTGTCTTGTGCTGCAGGACTATCAAGGCCCGCTGTTTGGATTGAGTATTAAGGCACAGAAGGACGATGATCCAGCACAAGATCAGGTTTCCCAGGCTCTCTGTCTCCCTGTCTCTGTAGCTGAACTACTGCAGTCTAATACTGTAAGTAACTTTGATACTGATTCTTAAGTATCAACAAAGTATGTGTGGACGACTAGTTTCCCATAATTTTTACAGACATAATATGTCATTTTGAGAATGATGGGTATAAACTGTTGACGATGTTTCTTGTACAGAATCAAGGATCCGATGGTGTGCGCTATTTTGTTGTTGACTGTCGACCAGCTGAACAATATAACAGTGGACACCTTCCTACGGCATTTCACCTTGATGCAAATTTGGTAAGATAAACCGCTGAATTGAAGGCCATTTCCCTTAGTAGATGACTTTAGCATCATTGATAGTTTATTTTCCACCAAATTAATTCAGATAAAAGGACTTTTTACTACTGTTCCTGAATTCTACATTTGAGGATTGTTCAATAAATACCAATATAAAAAGTTCTCATTTTCATGCTTACCAAGCAATCAAGTTGAAAATTTTAGTGATTGAAGGTGAGAATTAACTATAACCAATATATGTTTCAATACATGCCAGTTATTATTAATTCAATAAATCTTATACATTGAGAAGCTTCAAATGGTTTTGAAGCTATTTGTGTTTGTTTTCAGATGTTACAAAACCCCACAGAGTTTGGTACTGCAGTGCAGGCATTGTGTACCACACAGAAGCAGGCAATTGCTGCAGGTAAAACATAATCTCATGAAGAAACATGGGGTCAAAAAATAATGTTCTCTTTCTACATAGCTAGTTGTAATCAGAAATATAGCTGATGACAATATGGCAAGCAAAATGTACATTTGAACAATCAACTATCTTGGTAAGGGTTGCTTCGTCTGATTCTGCATTTAAACAAGGCCTGCTGGGTTTTTTTCACCAGCATAAAAATTCAGAAGTGTTCAATTACTTTTTGATCATGACGTGCACACTCTCAACACATAGCCCAAATCCACTGTGGAGGAACTCATAAAGCGAATTACGAAAATGGATTCGTTTTCGTAACAACGGCGCAACCGATATTTGATAAAAATTTGTTTTTCCATGATTCTGCGAGATATAGGCAAAATCATTGCTACCTTTTTACCACAGACGTAACTCATTGTCTTATGCTTCGGAAAATGTAAGCTTTTGCGAACGAATCACTTCGTAAGACTTTGAAATCAGCAATATTCTTCCTCACTTAAGTTACGTAAATGAACTCAGTAAAATATGAAAACAACTCACATTTTTGTTCAGTGGATACGAAAACGGATACAGTAGTTCCTATGTAATGTATCAACTGGTCTATGTTTAAAGGATGTGTCCGGGTATATGCCCTTTTGGTCCCTCAGTCAAATGTATGTTAAATATGTTTTTTATTACTGTCCTAGTTATATTTGATAAATATATTTACTTTTTCACGAGTTTTGATGCAAAATTAACCCCCTGCTGAGAGTCAGAATAAGTATCTTAACCAAAAAAAATAGTCATTATCATAGAATAAAAACCTCAATGGCAACATGTATGACTTGCAAAGAAGAAATAACTTAAGACCCATGAAGAATTTAAAAGAAAATCATATTTTTGAAATATATTTAAGGATTAAAAATTTTTTCAAATTTTTGAATTTCCCGCCAGTTTAATTTGAAGGGGGAAAAACAAGATGGCTGCCATTTGATGTAAGAAATATCAGAAAAAAAGTTGCTTCACTTTTAGTTTTCACAATGAGCACAGTTTTCCGGTTTAGGTTTTTTGACTGATTCTGACTCTTCATCACCAGGGTCATGTATAGAGATTATAAAATTGAAACCGGAATGTTGTGCTCAGCATGAATTTGACTGAAATATGTGTAACTTCACCAACACAATTGAAGTCTCAAAACTGGATGCTCAGTAACTTTGAGTGACTATTAATCCCTTGATTACCCAGATAAACACCAATTCACTTATCCAGAAATGCCATTCAATGTCTATACAAAGAAAGTAAGCAATGTTTTGGAGGATATGTTTCAAACCTTTTGTATAAATAATTCATTTAATATTTGCCATTGATTTTTTTTCAATTCTGACAAAGTGATATGCACTGTCTTTGATGCCAATATTCTTCATTAATTGTGATACAAATTGATATTTTTGTACTCTCAGAAGAAGGCTAAGATATTGAAGTTTAATAATATGTGTGATTGAGTTGGTTTTTCAGACATTACAATTTTCAATATTTTCTAAGTCGATACCCAGACTCATTCCCAGACTCATCCTTTTCAAGTTTTATTTTTGCAAAACCAGTGTGGAAGTATTTCTAGTCCTACCGAAATAAGAAATATTGTCTGACTGACCTAGTCCCTAATAAGCTCCTTGGGAATACAGTCTCAATTAAGTGGTAGACTGTGTGGTCCCAATCCACCAAAATCCTAAGGGTTATTGTTCCTGGACCATTGTCTCTAGGGATATTGGTACTGGACTTAAATTCCTGATATGTCCTACTTTATTCCCAGGGTAAAAAGTTCACAATGAGTAATCTTTTTATCCAACGGATTATTTGTTTTGAGTAAAGTTATAAGCTGGGAGGTTTTTAATACAGGGTTTTTCCCAAGGGATGTTTGTGTATTTATTCCATAACATATTTCCCCTGGGAAATAAGCAGGGAATAGAATTAATATTTAAAAAATTAGCCAATATCCCGTATCAGCCAAATTCCCATATCAGATCCCCTTTGAGCCGAAATCCCGTAAAGTATCAGAACTATTGTGTATATAATTATTGTGTTATCATTGCATTCTATTGAATTATATTGTATCATTTTATGTCACCATCATTGGGTAATGACATACAAAACTATAAAACAAATGAGTTTCAGCAAAAGTATTATGGAATAGATAGGTTATTAATGGTTGTGATGGAATATGAATTTTTCCTAGAGAAAATATTATATTGGGCTCGGCATGGGCTTTCTAGTTGAAAGCCCATGGGCTCGGTAAATATGATATTGACACTAAGTCAATATCATATCTTCCCTGGGAATAAAATCCCAGGGAAAATCCCATAAAATGATATAAAAAATAAACAAATATTTCATTCTATGGAGAGTAATAAAAAGCCCGTAGGGCGAGGGAAATACATGCTGCAAATATCATTGAAAATGCAAGGTATTGCCCAAACTTTGAAATATTTTTTTCATTATATGGTTGTTACACATTCTCTACGACCGCTTTGCATTTCTAAGAAATGTGGAATATTTGTTTTAACCTGCGAACATTTATTTTACAGTAATCAATAAATAAATGATGAACCCATTAAGTTAAATTATGTAGAGGTATCATTGTATTGTACACCTTTATTTTAGTCCAGTGCACCAGAATTCCCAGGCAGGCAATACGTACAGCAGACGATACGTCTTTTATATTCCAAAAATTGATGGACTTGTGAAATACGCTATGGTATTTTTGATCACATGGTACTGAATCAGCAAATCAAATCACAAAATTTCTAGCAAAGATATTCAAGCGATATTCAACGGTCACATGACTTCTGCCGAATATTATACAAATATTTAATTCTGTCGTGGCGAATACCTGTACGTGCATCTTTCACAAAATCTGAAGGGCTTATGGAATATTATCTTGTGAAAGTGTAACAGGTATTCACCGAAAATAGAATTAAATTTTTGTTTCATTATTCTTATTCACTGTTATACTCACTCAAATGTAATAACACCACTTAGAATGAAGTATTTAGGGAGATGGAGAAGCCGCCCGTCCATCCATGTGTCCAGGATATAAATCCCAAATGCAACTAATGATTTATTGGTAGGATATCAATTAATACGATATCAATAAGTAGGATATCAAGTAATTGTCAAGATAGCCCCTAAATTCCAAAATGCAACCGTTTTTCGTAAAGTTATCTTTGTAAAATGAATATATTCATAATTTGACAACAAAGGTCCAAAGTTGAATTGGCTACTCCGTGCAGTTGCTATTTTTCTAGTTTTACATTAGGAGGGCCAGGTAGGTCAAAGTTGAATATTGCACTGTTCGCACTTTCGAAGATAATTGTAGTGGCTCTATTTAACGATTGTGGACTGCAAGTGAACGTTATAACAAATTCTGAACACTATATAAATTAACATTTGTGCTGCCAACTTCATCAACTATGCGTGTAAACATGACTTAACCAGAGAAGCATCATGCTGAAATCCTGTTAACAACATAATTTTCATCGTATTGGTAATTGCTGCACTTTTTAGCCCATTCATTTACGTAACTTAAGTGAGGAAGTACATTGATGATTTTGCAGTCTTACAAGGAAATACGATCGCAAAAGCTTGGATTTTCTGAAACATAAGACTCTGATACACGTTTGTGCAAAAAAGGTAGTGGTGATTTTGCTTATATCTCGTGAAATCATGGAAAAACAAAAACATATCGAAATCGTTTGCGCCATTTTGTAACGAAAACGGATCCGTTTACGTAACTTGCTTTACGAGTTCCTCCACAGTGAAATGGACACCCTAATTTTGAGGTGTCCTCTCTTTTTGTTATTTACATGATGGATCTGTCCATTTTCTTGTGGTTAACATGCCATATATCATTTTAATATGTCGGTATTTGAAAAAACAACTTTGAAGAACATGAACAATTTGTTGTTATCAATAAGCCAATCTTCCGCCAATATGATGCTATACATACGCTATGATGTAATCCTCGACCAATGAAATTAGCGGATCATGACCTTTGACTTTGCAATCTCCAGACGTTTCGTTCAGAGTAATCCACTCGTTCGGTGGGCCATTGATAATTTGTCCCTTCCAAAGCGATGCATCATGGGAGATATTTTTGAAAATTACCATCGGAACTCTTATTGCGAATATGTCTATTAATATTGCATTAAGATTCTGTCCTCTAATAAACATTTCTTCAGGATGTGATGTACTGAGAGGGAGACAATACAGAGCCTTGATGCTAATCTCGGGGTCATTAACAGAAACTTCATAAAGTTACGAATTCGTAAATCAATTGTTGTAACCATGGATATAATGACGTCACAGTTAGAGAACAATGGATTTTATGAATTCTTAACTTTACAAAGTTTCTGTTAATGGCCCCCTGGTTGTTAATACTGTACACTGTGTATCTAACTGTATTTCCAGGTTCAGTGGCTGGGGGAGAACATCTATGCTTTATGGGGAGTGGGAGAGAGGAAGAAGATCAATATGTCAATATGGTGGTTGCTAACTTCTTACAGAAGAACTCTCAATATGTCAGTGTAGCTAGGGGAGGGTACTCTGGTAAGTAGTGTGAGGGGGCATCTTTATATGTTGGGAATATGAGCATTTTTAATGATGATTATCTGAAACTTTAAGACATTAATAACAAACAATACTTAAGTTCACAAGTCGACACTATTACTTGGAATTGATCATTTAATTTTTCACTAAGGGACGACTGAATGTGATTTATTATTTTTTTGCAATTTACTTGTATCACAGTAACCAGAAAATAGTACTTCACATGAAAAACATTGTTTTAGCTTACATGAAATATAAGACAAAATCAATTACAATAATACGTCATATATAATGTATATTTCAAATATGTGTTGACCATTAATTCTTCTTCAATGTTTGACTTAGATAAATACAAAGATGTTTTTGTTCATACAGCTTTACACCACGCACTGAGAGAACAATTGAGTCAAGGTCTATTGGATCATCATGCCAAGACATGTATTATGTGTAACCCAGAGACTGCTTTGGCCAGTGGCGGGAATGAGACTGACACTAGCGAAGACTTTCACCCGTTGGAGAAGGTATTAAGCGACCTCAAGATGCAGGTAGCTACTGGGACACAATTAACTCACAGCCTTGTACTTCATGAAATCAATATCGATGTGAAATCAAAATAATTCAATCATTATATGACATGTTCTTCTCTTAGGTATAAAATATTTCTTTATATTTTGGTGTGAGTTATTTTTTTTTTTTTTTTTTTACTTTTTTGTATGTTTTGTAAATAAATGTATTTCCCTTTCTGTACTGTATAGATTAATAAAATGGATTTTGCATTACAATGCATGCAAAGCGCACTTACTATAAAGATCCAATCACAATATTAATTTCATTGATCATAAACTTAATGAACAAGTTTGGTGTATGATTTCCATGTAGTATTAGAACATGTCTGGGTATAAATAGTTGTGGAAATACGTAATTATCAGTTATGGGGTGGAGATGGTATGGTTTTAAATGATTTTCTTTGAAATGTTGATTTACTACCTCTGTATTGTCTCTATATTTGGCATATATATATCTAATTTATATAGCACTAATGTAATAATCAATGAAATCAATAGACTACAAATTCCCCTATCCGACCATTTCAATGGAATCGCAAGTTCATTTTTCCACATCTGTTTATATTTAGGCATGATAATCAATCATTGTATTGCAGATTCTCCATTACCTTAATTAGTACACATTATTATTTGTTTAATATACAGGCTGTCCATAAAGTCCCTTTACATGTATATCTATTATTTTCCTTATTGAAAACATGCCAGTTTCAATTATATTCCCATCTTTTTAATGTGGGACTTTATTCTAAGAACCATTTTGGTGTAAAAGGCTATACATTACATCATTTTTGTAATTAAAATTTTTGCATTGTGGTATTTGTTTTAGACAATGTTAAACGTCATAAATATATTTTTCTGTACCCCGTTCATTCTATTGTAATGCTGCATGATTGTTAGGTGTAGGTCATCTATGCTAATACAATGTGAACTTTGTATGACTTCCTTTTGGTATTGGTATTTTCCATTTTGGTATTGGTATTTTCCGTTATGTTTCTTTACATTAAAGCATCTTATTTTCAATGCAATATGTACCCATCTTGTTACTGGTTCTTTCATTGTTGTGTATGACCTATTGGGCCTAACTATGTATTGTAAGCAAGATGCTTTAAGTTTGTTACGATGGGCATGGTTATGTGAAAGCATGTTTTAGAGAGAGGTTTATCTTCAGTTAGTTCTGGTCATATAAAAGTGTCAGGCTGCGAGTAAGTGTGTCATCTAGTAGTTACAATTCTAAGGGATAAATAAATTACAAATTTTTAATAATTACAGTATTTAGAAAGTGAGCCTTAATTGAGTTCATAGCAGGTACAGGGAGCATGGTGTATTTGACTTGTTCAGGGCTGGTAAGAAAGGAGCATGTGTTTTCAGATTTCCATTGCATTAGGTTTCTGAGTCCTGTAGCCTATTCTGGTAGTTACTTGAAAACTGGATTAAAATCCTACAGTGTATGCTTAGTGCTGCTTAAGGGGCACATGGTTCAGTGAAATATCATTTGGCGATTTATAATTGAAACAATCAAAAGAATCATGATTAAAGTGAAAGGTAAACAGCCAAAAGGCAAAATTTTCTAATTTAAGAATTATTGAATCAATTATTACAACACTCCAGGAATATCGATGTGGAAAATATTATTTAAGTCAACTGATCACGAAGTCTGATTTAGTTCAATTTACTTAGGAGCATTTCGATTTATAGAGGATAAAATGGTTTAAAATAACACTTCTGGCTACAGACATGATTTCAGACAGTGCTATTAGAATTCATAATAAGCATTCGAAGCTCATTTAGAAGCATTTAAAATCGAATCCACAGGAAAATTGAAATCTGTATACATTTTCTTCTCCGTCTTCTTCGCAGACGTCACAGAACACACTTCCAGTTTAATAATCGATGATTTTATCGATAAAATATTTTTTTATGAATTTGTCTGCTTAAATATGGTATGTATATTTGTGTTGATTGCTAAATTACAAAATAGGAAGGGTAAAGAATATGACAAAGTCGTTTGATCTCGTCCCAGAACCAATACTTTGTCATTCCTGTCGCTTAGAATTCCTTTAATCAACATTTGTGTAGTTAGGCGGCTTGCAAAAAGAGTTTTACTGATGGTTTCCTCATGATTCTTTATCCTCCTTGAGATATTCTTTAAAACAACCACCTGTCTAATATAAAGTGTAAGTGGCCATTGCATTATCCTTCATAACAATTCATCCAGGGTCTTGATTATTATACAAAGTCAATATCAACCCTTGAAGGTTTCATTACAGAAATTAATGCTGAAAAACACACTGTTTTGAAAACTATGCGTTTGTCATATAATTTAGGGTGATTCGTTCTTTGACAAGATGTCTAGTGTTGTGAAAACCAAAGGTGCTACAATGAAGGAAAAGATGGTGAAATACATAAAGAATGAACACAATATTCAAGCAGAGAGGTATTATATACTCCTCAAAAAAAGTTAAGGACCTCATAGGTTTACATGTTGACCCCCATATTTGTTTAACGACTGTTTTCTAAGCGGGGAACAAAAGAAATCCCAATAAAGAAATTAAATCTGTATCTTGATTCTATTCCCTATAAAGTCCGCAACGTTTCAATGTTATATCTCCATTACATTGGGTCAAAATTTTATGTCAAAATTGATGAATTTCATGAAATGTAACAAAAATGGCAGATCCCATGTTAAACAAATGGGGAATGGTGGCTTAGGGGCAACTCAGATTTTGGAATATCTATTCAGCAAAACATTTATTAAAAATACTTTCTAAGTAGAAAATTGAATGATTTTACATGCTAAATGTCTCGCTTATGTTGTTAAAATTAGCGATACGGAGCGTTAAAGTAATTTTGACCACCTCACTGAACCACCTGTGTTATTTCAATAAGAGGTTCATTAAAAAATTATTGAATTTGAAACCATTAACTTTTGTAAAGCCTGGACAATTAAATCATATTTTTGTCGAGTAGACTATTTAGCAAATTTAATTATCTCTTACAATCTCAATTTTGAGAGCAATCGGATGGATGGATCGTTCCTCATATGACTTATGGCAACCAAACCATTCCCCATTTGTTTAACATGGGATCTGCCATTTTTGTTAAATTTTATGAAATTCATCAATTTTAACATCAAATTTTGACCCAATGTAATGGAGATATAACATTGAAACATTGCGGACTTTATAGTGAATAGAATCAAGATACAGATTTATTTTCTTTATTGGGAATTATTTTATTCCCCGCTAAGAAAACAGTCGTTAAACAAATATGGAGGTTAAGATGTAAACCTATGAGGTCCTTAACTTTTTTGAGGAGTATATATTGTTTAAAACCTCAAATTTTTTTGTCTAAATTCCATGTGTAAATGTCAAATGCTGTTATTCATAAAGATGTTTTATAAATAATACTGGGATTTAGAAGCCTTGTCTATGTGTACCAAGTTTCTTTATGAAAGTAAACTGTAACCTTAATTGAATTGAATTTACTTTGTGTTGCAGACATGTAAGCAACAGGGATGTAGGCAAACCTTATAGGGGCTCAGCCTCAGTGTTCTCTATAGGAGATGATGAAGGTAGGTAGAAATGATTCCAAAGAGACATTTGGTATATTTCAATGAAAATGGTGCAAGGGCCATGTACTAAGAGCCTTTGAAAATATGATTTATCCAGAGGGATATACCGTACTGTGTTGATATCTCTGTAATAGATATAGATGTTTCATGAAGGATGAACCCTACATTGAAAACTAGCTTTACTAGCTGATGCATCTCATACTTGAAGGTTCCCCAAAATCCAAGAACTCCTTAGCATGACACTCTTTTCAAATCTCAAGTTGTTCACTCCTCTTATTTGTCCACCATGCTCACAATCACAGCTCATTTCACTGTACCTTTCCGTTATATGACTACACGAGCTGGAATGTTTATTTCTAAATTTATCACACATTACATTTCCCAATTTACGCAATATCACTAGACTAACTATCATCTTACAAGTATATGCTTTGTTTAACATGGGAGTCAATGGGAGGAAAAAAGTGTTTAGATTGGGAGATATTCGGATTAGCCAGGTGTTCAAATATACAGGTTCTACTGTACAAGTATATGCTAACATTGCAGATGATGAAGTGAATGCAGCATCCTCTGATGAGGAAGCGAGGGAAGTCGTAAATATTGACACTTGGTTGAATAAACCTGATGTCACTCATGCCTTCGACTGCCAGGAGGTCCAGGAGAATGGCTACTTGTGGAAGAGGTAACAGCTCAATGAAATCTCATTTTTATGTTGTTGTGATCAAACAAATCCTTTCTTCAAATTAGATGATTCAGTTTACAATTTTTATTTTGATATCAATTTATGAATCTCTCTCTTTTTTCAGTCATCTATTAGTTACAAAGACCCATATGTTCATATTACGAGAAATCCCGAACAAAAAGGGAATGGCCTGGATCAAGGCACGCAGAGCTCTAGGCAGTATAGTCAAAATCACATCGAAAAAGCGCCATCCTGAATTAATAACTTTTAAATATGGAACAAATGAAGATGATGGACTCCACATTACGAGCATAGATAGGTTTTTAATTAGGAAGGCCGGAGAGGCAACTAAAGTGATAAAGACTCAAATAATGAAAGTGTTGGATGCCCTAGAAAGCTAGCATCTTGTTGAAATTATACAGCAGTGATGAGGTGTGTCCTTCAAAGAATGTCTCGGTGGATTGGTGGGCAGGATTTTTTGAAACTGATTCATGATAATGTGTCCACAGAACAGTATTTTGCACTGCCCCTCAAAAATTGGACTTGGAAATTGACTCGAACTGGTTTAATATGAGGCCGGATCAGCTAAAAAAATTACATGTAAAATTCTATGTTGATCTTTTCAAATAAAATGTCTGAGAGCTAAACAGACTGCATGACTCCGGTCCCCATGACATTTTCTGATTGGTTAAAATAATGCAATATTGTACATGTTAATGGATATAAGGGTTGCGATCAAACTCTTGTTTAATTAAACATGTTATTATTATTTATTATATAATGTATATTAGAAAAATTATATTAAGAACAATTGTATTTTGGCGATTTCTAGTGAACAATAGTATTAGTTTATTTAGAAATGATGGAAAAGGCTAAATGGTTTGAGAATTGTTTTTGAACAACTAAACTAGCATTGGAGAGAGATGGAGATAATTTAGTTTATTATTACATGAATCAAAAATGCATATGGAGTTATTCATAACCACATATTGTTACATGTCCAGTATTTGATTGCCTGTGACCAAATACTCATACTTGCAAAGTTGCACCCATCGTTTTCTAAAAAGGGTAATCAAAGGAAGAGAAATGCAATGTCCAACATTTCTGTTTATATAAGGAAATATATGATTTTTCTTACAGTTTCAAATCAGAAATTTGTGGCCTATCAACTCATTGCTAATTTTTAATAAAAATTTTAACTTTAACTTTATAAACAGTCTGCAAATGATGTCTTTGGTTCACCAAAAGGGGTCAGAATATAGTGGTCTATTGGGATAGCCCCTCCTGGTCAAGTTCATTTGACAACTGAAGACATATACCATATACACATACAGTATATTTGTACATACATGTATTATGTACATACACATCAATGGTCGGTGATTTCAATTTGAATAAAATGCATGTAAGTTATAAAACTAAAACACAAATGAATTATTGACTCTTTATAATTAATTTTTTTATGATATTGTTAAGTTTTGAGATAAATGTGATTTGTTTCTTGTGTCTGCCATGTGCCTTTCTTTTAAATCACTCCAAATAACCCAGATGCGAGTAGAAATAATCTTGATTTACGTCATTAAAAATTCAAAATTCAGTCAAACTAATATCATATTTGAAATCTACATGTAAAATTACATCTAGAAATGTGGTTTTAAAAAGTGTTTATCAACTTTGAAAAATTAATTTTCTTTGAAAATGTGACTTCTAGCTCGGGGAGATTCCCCAGAGACCCCATGCTATAAAATCACAAAAAATGAAATATCTTTTCTTTTAGTAGACAGATAATATTTTGCTTTACTGGACATATTTTCATTAGTGTAAGTATCAGACGCATAAGGGTTATATGAAAATTGAGCCACTTAAATTGATAATATTCAAGTTTAAGGGAACTTTCTCATATACCTGCCATGTTAATTGACCCGAATCAGCCACCTGGTGGTGAAACTTGTTACTACCTACTCGCATTTGGGTAATTAAGCATGTCTACCAATTGTATGGTAAAAGTTGGTCTTTGAAGTCCACAGATTTAAAAAGTATAGAATCAATGGCAATCATAGTTTTGTAGGTGAAGAAAACCACCACTGTTGAAGTTGCCAGACATGTTTGTTTTCTTTGTGGAATTCAAAACATTTGATTTGCCAATTGAGGGTTGCCTGTACATTGAATTTATAAAACTGTATCTTGTAATATGGAAATACATGTTTCTGTATACTGAATTTGCCAAATTGTATTTTGAATGATGGTTTGTTCATTGCATTCTGGGGTAAAGTAGAATACATTTAATTAGTTACCTTTGTGTGTATGATAGTTACAAACCTAAGCTACCATGAAAAAGGTTTAAGTTTAGTATTCAGGCAACAGTAATTTTTGTGCATCTAGCTTTGAAATTCAAGTCTTTCGTATGTTACATCACATATCAGGGGTTTCATTAGTAGCAGGCAGCAGGTGATTTTCAATTTCAACGGTTGTTTTCACAAAATCTCCTTTTGTTATTAAGGCCTTTTCAACTTTTCCATGTTATGTTCTGTTATGTTGTTTCAACTTTTCAACTTTCCGTGTTATGCCATCTATTATGAAATATAGGATAATATAAGCTTCATAATTACCTTATTTATTACATTCAAAATATTTACTTTTAATTAAATATGTTTAATGATTTAGTTTGTGATACTTTCTTTCAATGCATTTATATCTAGGTATTATTCTGTTTAAATACAGCCAATATGTATAGATGGAACTATAATTCATGTACAGTACAATGTTCATATTGTATATATATTCTGAAATGTATATTTTATGGAATAAAATAAATTCAATGTATTATAATACATAATATGACAAAAATATATCTGCTTTGTTAAAGCATCGTGACTTTCAGCCATTTGACAATTTGGCTTCAAAAGCTCTAAATAGAAGGAACTGCAAAATGTGCAAATCATGTAGATTTACATAGACAATCAATCCCATTAAAGAAATACAGCAACAATGAATATTTGAAAGAAAAAAATATGACATGTGAAGAGAGACAATGGACAATAACAATTAGCTAGTTTAGCTGTGTAAAATCTTGATCCATGTTCACCACTGATATAGTGGCCCGTCAGAGTCTGATTCTTGAAAATACCTAGGTTTACATCAAGCACTTTTGGACCCCCATACAACACCTCATCTCTGGAGGTAATGTAGACACGGAGTTCCAGAGATGCAAGAGCAGAAACTTGTGTACGAATCAAGAAATTACAAATCTAACTGTTGTTAGTGATTTCAAATGGAAGAACTAAAATAACATTGCAAATATAAGACATCTTCAGTGTTAGAGATTCTCACTTCGTCAGTAGTTCATAAAACATTATACAGTATTTAATTATTCTTAACGGAAAATGACATACCATAGCTTACAACAGATAAGAATTGCATGAGCTAGAACTTTGACATTTAAATGGGATGTCACTTTCCTACCAATTTTGAACAAGGAATAAGTTTAGACTTATAACAGTCATATTGCAATTTAAATGATGTAGGAAAGATAAAAAACCAAATAGGGACAAACTTGTCAAATACAAGGAATTCTCAACCTCAGGTTGTCCCATATTGGTTAGGTGTGTGGCCAGTAAGCAGCCAGGAGTCTCAGTTTTGGAGTAAATTCTAAACATTTCCCATTTCAGTAATTACTACACCACCCACCCTTGTTAACAAAAAGCATTTACTGAAAGGCTACCCTACTTGTTTTGAAAATCTTTTGTTTAAGGGGACTAATCAGTTAGATTCGATTTCTGAATGGACATTTAAAATATGATTATCGCATTTTGTTTAAAGTATGTAAAGACATATTTATTTTTAAGTTTTCAAATCGAACCTTAATTAAAACTAAATTAATATTTACTGTCCAGTCAAAATAAATTTTGTTAATTGATCAACACCTTTAACATCTCCCAATGTAAAAGGATGACCCTTTCACTGATAATGCTTTTTAAAGAAAAGCCCTATTACTACCTACTAGAGAAGGGTCGGTTACGGTTCGGTTCGATTAACCGCGGTTTTTGGCCTCACGGTTCTACTGGGACCGTCTGATCACCAAGAACCGAGTCCAAAACGGTTCCATCATTCCCGGGGAAATACTTTATTTTCGTGCAGTGTAACATGAATACGAAATTTTTGCGCAAATAATTACAGCTCTATTTCATCTAAATAGCGAATGAAAGTACCATTTAAACGACAATTGAACAACTTTAAACGATCCATACGGTAATAAAATCGTTTCCTTGGATATTTCATTGTTCTTCCACGTCTTGAGGGAACATAATTCTACTTGCCAGCGTGAATTTATTTCGCGCGGAAACACTTGTGTTTTAAAAATGGCGGACAGTTTTCGAAGTCGGCAAAGAGCTAGTAAAACCATAATAGAGCCTTTTCCCGCGATGCCTAAGTTGGATGCTTGGAAGTATTCGGTTTCTACGATGAGAATACGTCTACCCTATGTCGGTTCTGCAACACGACATTGAAATACGCTGTAGGTTTCCAATTTTTGTGATAGAAACTTTTTGTAAATTTTTTTAATTTTAAAAATTAAGACTGCGATCTTTATTAGACTTCAATTCATTCCCTATCTTGTAACTGCCTCCTATTACCCACTCATAGTAACATTTTTTATGACTGATATATACACTTTTTCATGTGTCCTACCTCAGGTCCCAAGTCAGGTTGAGAATTTGGGTAAACACCCCCTAGCCGACTGCACTGTTATTCCCAACTGAAGGACATCTGTGCTATCCATATAATTTTAGTTTTCAGGAAACACACTGTCTGCCATGAGGAAACATATTGAAAGGTCTTACCCAACCAGACCCAGTTTAAAAAGGAATCCCTCCCATCTAACACGGGGCAAGCAACTTGTTGATAGCCACATACAAATAGTTCAATTCTAGTTATTTAATTCCATAAATATTCAATGATTATCAGCTATCATCATTCCATATTGATCATTTATAAGATTGAAAATAAAATTATATCCCCTAATAATACAAAATAAAAGTGAAACACCTTTTTATGTTGCCATATTTGTGGCACCAATTGCAATTTATGAGGCCCACCTTATTAAGTATATGATTTAAGAACCGACCGAACCGAGAGACAAGAACCGAGAATCGTACCGAACCGAACCGAACCGTGACCGACCCTTCTCTACTACCTACCCACCCACCCAATCAACAAAATTGAGAATGTGTAGAACAAGCAAAACCCCTGAGACATCCCTAAGACCTGCTATATGCTGGTGTATCAGTAGCATAAGTTTCAATATCAATCTGCTTTCCTAACAGCTTATCACTGTTTATGGTGGCTATAGTTATTGCCCGGTACATTTCATCAAAACATTCTGTCATTTTATGCCTTATATGGGCAACTGTCTTTTTATCATCAGTAGTGGCGCCATCTATTGCACTGTGCTTTGTATCAGAGGTGACTTGTTTTTTGTTATCCTGGGATTCAGTGAGGGAGGAAAGTTCAGTATGCAGCTGCCTGGAATAGTCATAATATATATGAGAATTATACAAGTGATCAGAATTTGTAGTTGGGGATCAAAGCAGATTGCATTTCCTGACCTTGACCTTGAGGTCAATGATAGGTCTCAGCAAATCACACCTGGTATGATTCTCATTTGGTATTAACAACTGGCTTGTTTTAGTAGCGTAACTGATAATAATGCCAAGGTTCACTGATATTAGTATTATTCGAAACAATAATATAAAAGGTTATTATTTATTTCACTAAATTTCAAGTTTATTTCTCCCTAAAATTTTGGTGTATGGTGCAGCATATATATGTGTACATACACCACTGGTTAAGTCTGAACATTAATGACCTTAATGTGCTTATATCTTATAGCTTAAATCCCTGAAAGGAATGGAATCCCAAATGTGCTTAATGATCGAAAAAACTCAAATCTGAACACCATAACAATGTACCTAATATTGACTAGGGTGTCTTGCATGTCACAGCAGAGTTCTCGAGTTGCAGCAGCTAACCTGTTCACCTGTTGCCAGGCAGCACGATCATCCATTAGACACGTCTCTGCCACAGCTCGCAGTTCTGACTCCTGGAGCAACTGTTTTTTGATACCCTCAATATCCTCACAGGTCTAGAAATATAATATGTCAGCTCAATATCCTTAAGATACCTGTACGCCAGATGGAATAATTTTCAATTAAATGCATTTTTTATTTATAGAAAATATGATATCAATTTATATATAAAGTATATATATATAGGTGTAGGAGAGGATGGGGTTAATTTTTATACACTGGATAGTTAATTTTATGAACAATGGAGAAGGCATAGGACACACACATTGTTTTTTGTTATTGCTCTTGTTTTTTTGTGTAGTAATTGGTTAGTTATGTAGAAAGTTGATCTAGAATCCAACCAACTACCTAAACTATTGATTGTTCATTTACCTTGGTGAGCTGTATTGCCATCTCTTGCATTTCTGACTCCAGCTTATCTGCATATGCTTGTTCCAGGTCATTACGACATGGTCTTGCGTTGCTATGCCAACGGGCTATTGCATTGTTCATTTTCTTTCTAGGGCCAAATAATCTGCAAACAATATGAATATTTGTTGGAGGTTGTTGTTACTATCTTGCTTAAATATATGAACAAGATATATTTCATCAAATCATTATTTCTTAAAATGAATATATGTTGTTAGAAATGTCATAAAAGTTCCAAAATTTTTGGGCAGCCAGTTGCGAGATTTGTGGGCAGCCATTTGAACTTTACCTAACACAATACCTGAAACCACTGATTGCATTATTTTATATCTATTCAGCTATTTGATTTCTATAATGACCACTGGAGTCGATACAATGGAGTATTTACTTACTTTATTCCTACTTCTTTCAGATCTGTATCAGTGAGAGTTAGAAACACTTGAAGGTCCACATCTTGTTCTTCAAAAGTCACCAGGTATTTACTCAGACCCAACTCTTCCAATAAACCAGCCAGATCTCTTGGCCTATCCCGAAGGAGTGACTCTTGCTCCTTAAGGATACATTCCCGATATTTCGTTGTTTTACTCGACTGTTTGCCATTATTTTTATTACTATCATCTTTCGTTGTGCCATTTTTGGGTTTCAGCTCTGAGGAATTTTTATTGGTTTTTGATTTTTCCTCGTGTGACTTTGATGATTTATGTCTGGACTTGTGTTTGTTGCTATTATCATTTATATGATTCGTTGTAGGTTTTGTATCAGTTAATTGTTTAGTTGCTTTTGCACTTGGTTTTGGCTGTATTGCATCTGGTATGTGTTTAGTATTTTGTGCGACACTACAGGGTGTCTCCTGGAGGCTACAGGGTGGGCCTGACTTGTGCTTACTACAGGGTGTTCCATCAGGCTCAGGGTTTTCAGAGTCTGTAAGGCCCAGGGCAGCCGCTAGGCCCCCACTACTGCTGGAACTACTCTTAATGGTGAGTGCCCCTGTTTGAGAGAATGCATTGTCTTCCTCTTCATCATTGTAAGATTCTGAAATTACAAATTATGTATTACAATGCATGTTAGATACAAAAGTATGAATTGCTTACAACAAAGTTAAGTCCTATTTTTCATTATACAGTTTTAAGTTTCTTAAAAGTCTAAAATTGCTGTTACAAAGACAAGTAATGGAATTCTTACAAAAATCACACAACTAAGTGTTACAAAGAAGTAATACAAATACTACAATATGCTCAAATAGAAAGATTACACATGATCAAAATAGAAGGAATACATATTACCTTTGCCTCCTGAACTATCCAGCTTGTGATCCTCAGGGTTGATGGGAGATGTGACATCACGGCTGGTCAACCAATCAGCACCTATGGGGGTTCTGGGATAGACACCTGGGCCACTTTGGTAACTCACATAACCTTGAGGTACAGCTGGACCTTGAGTAAAACAATAATTGATTTCAATTTTAACCCTATCATCTCAGAAGTTCAGACTGTGTCTCCATCAAAATAGTGATATATTGTTAATATTTTGTTATAGCCTTCATTTTATGGCACCTGCCATGTGTTACACTTTTGGTACTACTTGGAGATGATGAACATTTCTCAAGTTATCACATTGTTCATTTTTTCAAGATATTAAGATACATGTACATTTGTATGGTGATCGCCTTTATCCTAATGATATTACTTTTACACAAAACTAAATAACCTATTTCTAAGTTTCAAATAGTGTGATAAATATAAATCTTTTACATTTCTAAAAAGCTTGATAAAGATTGGCGCTTTTGTAATTTATTTGTTTATTAGAATGTCAGACTAACCAGTGGCATATACAGCACTAGGTATATGTAGATCATGTTTCTTAGACCAATCCATCAGTTTTTCAAATGCCTCAGGGCCATCTTGTATGCTAGGGCCCTTTGATTTATATCTCCCACCACGGCTGCCACGGTGTCTGTTTGGTCTGACAGCCTCATCCGAGGAACTCAAGTCAGCACCAAAGTGTAAACCTGTAGATACACAAAGAATGACATTAATTGATATATACAGCTAAAATCTGGTGCCTTTAAAAAATGTTCCACTTGGGAGGTGTTCCACTTTACATGTTTTACTGTATCTTGTAATGTTCTTTGTATAGCCTTTATAATTTTGTTAATCGATTCTTTTGTGATTAAGTTATCCATATGTTGGATATCTTTGTCTTTGACAATATTTTTTTGTTCAAATGACACTTTAAACAAGGATTGATATTTCTTTTCTCTTGGATTTCGATGTGATCTTTTGTTTTTTCTTCAGAGTGTGTGATTACAATCTTAATCATCCTACCAGCTTCAGCCCGCAAGCTTGTTGGAAGTGCATAGTTATCTATAAGGCTGACAATCTTAGTGTGGCCATTCATGAGTGCCAAGGAGCGGGCGGTGTCACCAGTGAATGCCTTGGCCTCCATGTTGACTCCCTGCAAAGAATAAATAGGTCTCGATTAAAATAACATGCTTTATCATATTATTAGAATAACTGAAAAAAGAACAACCATATAGCTCATCAAATTTACATAGTTGTAGCCAGGCATGACACAGAATTTTACAGAAAAATATTAGTTCAGAAGTTATTAATGCCCCTTCCCCTAATTCAAAGTCTCTCTGCCAATTTTTAGCTAATACACCTGATGTTTGATTAGTTAGGCTTGTTAAAATTTTATCACGGAAATTCTCTGTTTTTATCATTCACCAATCATAGTTTTTGCTAGTCCATAAGACAAATGCTAAATATAACATGACTAGTTAATAACGTAGTTTTTTATCTGACATATCAACATAGACAATATCATGAAAATATCAACTATGTATAACAAACTTGTTATCTCTGTTCATTGTTTTTTGACCCTTTGATAACCTATTATGTCTTAAGATCTTGATTAAAAATAAGAACAATGGACTGTCAATTCAAGTTTATGCTTTAGTGTTAAACATCAGACAACACTGTGTGTATATTCTAAGACAGAACTGGCTGGTACTCGGTATATCAAACAATTGTGAATTCCCTATACAGTAAATGATCCAAGACATCAACATGACTGCACAGTTGATAAGGATTGCTGAAAAGTTGAAATGCAGATTATAAGAAAACAAAAAATGTGATAGAAATATGTTTGTCTATTTGAAGCATTAATTAATGTGTTAGATAAACAATAAGGTTGTGTCAAGAAATCAAGAATGCATGTGTAACAGTAATCTATTTACCCCAAAGCAAAACAGAACATGGGAAATTCTGTGCAACAGTGGAGAGTGGCCATTGGGACATTTGGTGGAGGCAAGAAAAATGAGACATTCCGTTTAACACAAACTGTCAAATCTCCAATGCAACAGTCATTGACACAGATCATACAGATCATAGAGACACTACTGATCCGAGGAGGTATAGAGTCAAATCCGGGTCCTGATCAGCCATCAGAAAAAACAGGTAACTATGAATTATCATTTTTGATTCCTTATTCAATCAATTATATTTTCTGTTTATAAAATAAGAAGACATAAAGGGTGACAGAAGGAAAAGGCATTCTAATTATATTATTGCAAGTAGCAGGGAAAATGTGATTGCAATCATATTAGGATGCATCTCAAAAGTCCAAGTCTTTCCTCATTGATATTTATATATTTATTTATTGCACCTTTAAAATGGTGGCACATCAATACTGGGTGCTCTTACAAAAATGTACATAAAATACAAAACATATTCATTTTGTGGTATCATTGAGATTAGGGTGAAACAAATGCATTCAATAAAAATTGTTTGATACTTCTATCTACTAAAACTTCAATCTCGTGCCCATAAACACTATGTATATCATTGCCCAGTAGCCAATGTAATTTGCTCTGAACGTTAAAAGACATGAAATGGTTAAAGACATGTTCATTATTGCCTTCAAGTGCACTCTTATTAAGTTAGAAAATCAGACAGAATGATCGGAGGTGATATATGGACATAACAGTATGCAGTGGGAAAGATCATTAATCCCTGAATTACAAAATTGGCACAATCCATCACTTTGGCCCCATCTTTTCAAATCTGCACCAACCATGAAACATCCTGTCCTAGCTCGAAACCTTAAAACATTAAGTCTGAAATCGTTTGAAATGTGCATATGACATTCAAGACCCCAATTTGTCTTAAACATTTTTAACGTTTAGTGAGGATTTTACATTTATTGAGGTAAATATATCAGTTTTCATTTGGCTATTTGTGATGGCTTTATATGTCTTCATCCAGGAAGTGTTAGGTCTAAACATAGCATCATCCAGCCCTCTATCGTTCATAATTGAGTGGATGTTTCTCATTTATAGCGGAAACAAATTTTTATTAAACCTATGGTGTTCTAACATACTTTGAAAAACAATGTTTAAAAGATCATTCCTATCATTTTTTACTAGGTAGCTAAAATAATCGATCTGTTTGTTTTCAATGCTTGTAGTAGCAGATGGAATTGCTATAAAATATAAAGGGAATGTGTTAATCAATGTAATATCATGGGTTTCAAGTCATTTGACAGTCACTGAAAATCAATGATTTTAAGTGTTCCAAGCTTTCCACTAGATGGGAGTGGTGGGAGTCGTTGTCCAAATGAAATTACTTTCATCTCCATATATGGATATCAATATTTTGGCCCTGCCTCTAAGAAAGAAAAAAGATCAATATCCTGGGAGGACATGCACACTAAGATATCATTCACATGAAATATGATACATGACATCTGACTAGGTTAAAAGATAAAGTCAAAAACAAAACACTATTTCACATAAGTATCAACTTGGCCTAACCTAGACACTTCAAATTCAAGTACAATTATATTATATTGTTGAAGTCTTTGGTTTTATTTATCTTTCTTTTGAAGGGAAGATAAGTTAAGTAAATTACAGCTTTCTTTTTTAAATCACCTTTATGCAAAAAGAGTCTTTTATCATATTGAGCAACAAAAGTATACCAGTCATAAGGAAAACAAACCCCAACTATCCCATTTTCCAACTGAAAAGAAACCATGTCTAATACCCCCTCCCCCACCATCCAAGTACAGGGTGTTCAAAAAAATACAACCCAAAGAAATTGCTGTATCTTGGAAATATTAATTCAATTATGTTCATTTGTTTAGGAGAGAAAGTAGAGACTGTGTATGTATAGCTCCCGTAGTTGGTGAGTTGTAAAACATGATGCCTTGGACACCTGCTCAAAAGATATTTGCACTGTCTAGAAGAATGCGAAAAACCCAGTCAGGGGTGACAGCAACCACAAAAAACTAAATAACTTCCTAACCATAGTGTTTTGGCTCTTCAAATTTGGCACAAATCATCTTCATTCAATGTATGGTAAATATCTAAAGTGAAATCAAAATCACTCCAGGGACTTTACAGTCATGGTCGAAATGATATCAAAACACTGTCAAACGCCCTGGTTCAGGCAGACTCAAGAAGGCATTTTGACCATGACTGTAAAGTTCCTGGAGTGATGTTGATGCAACTCTACAAATTCACCACACATTGAATGAGGATAATAATGTGCCAAATCTGAAGTGCCCAAAACACTATGGCTAGAAAGTTACTCAGTTTTATTGCAGTGGCAGTCACCCCTGACTGCATTTTTCCAATACTAATGTCTTTTAAGCAGGTGTCCAAGGCATCATGTTTTACAACTACTTAAAAGCAAGAGCTATGCATGCACAGTCTCTTCTTTCTTTCCTGAAAAGATGAACACAATTGGATTAGCATTTTCCAAGATATAGCAATATCTTTGGGTTGCGTTTTTTTAACACCCTGTACCAATATCACAATCCCAGACCATAACACCAAGGGATATTTTGAAGAAATATATTGAACAGGCACATTATGTCTACAAATTTTCATTTTTCAGAAGTGACCAAAGAAATGTATGAACTTGGTTGCAAAATAACTGCATGTGACCAAAATACTGAGTTAAAGGTACAGGCTGACCTCATGTGTCAACTTGGACAAGAGTATATCAAATCAGCAGAGACCTCTGATATCTGGTATGAACACTATGTTTGGTCCTGCGCATTGTACAATGCTGCTAAATGCCGAATTGAGACACTAAATGTCAAAAAAACTGACCCAACTCTTAGCCAAGACTTAGAACACATTGGTCAACAGCTTCAACTTATAGAAAACAACTTTGTTCAAAAATGCTGTGTTGCACAACATTGTGAATTATCAACAAAAGTCTCAACACAGAAGTACAAAGATGAACTAGAAAAGATACGAGAGTACTCTTATACAACAGTAAATGACATCATCAAGAAAGACATGATATTCGATGATGTGACCACAGAGATGAAAGACGAAGATGAGGATAATACAATAGAGCACAGTAAAGAGTTCTATAATGGAATCACGCAACAACTTTTAGATTTTTATAAGTCTATCATCAATGACTGTTTTTCTGTCGTAGGAAAGCCTGATTGTAAGTTTGCATTTATAGCGCTTGGTTCTATATCACGCAATGAGGTCACTGCATATTCTGATATTGAATGGGCAATGTTGTATGATCCTTTATGCAATCCAGTAGATCAAGTCAAAGAGCAATTGCGTATCATAGCTTACTACATGCACTTAAAGGTACTTAACCTAGGTGAGACCTTGCTTAACTGTTTGGACATTCCAGTTCTGACGGATTTCAATGACCAACTCCCATCTGACATGAAAGACAATGACTTTTATGACAAAGTAACACCTGGGGGAATCGCTTTTGATGGGACTTTACCTCATGCTAGTAAGACACCCATAGGTAGAAAATCTAGAAAAGATCGTATTAACAAGGATCCAAAACTTGAACTCATCAAGAAATCTAGAGAATATGATGATAAACCTCTCAAACGTGAACTTATCATGACTGTTGATGAAATGAGTAAGTTTCAGAAAACAGATGAATCCCTTAAGGAAGGTTACCACCTTAGTGATGTCCTCATGACATCAACTCTTATCACTGGAAACTATGCTCTTTGGAAGGAATACAATGATAAAGTACATGCAATATTGGCATCACCATCTGAAACCAATCCAGACATCACAATGGGTAGAGAACGTGCAATGAGGACGCTGAAAGAAGACTTAGTAAATTACGAAAAAAATCCTCTGTCATCAAAATCATTCATAAGAAAAATGCATACAAAGCATGATGTCTACAGATTTGCTACAATCACTATCAACATTCTAAAGCTTATGCATGGATGTACAGCATGTGCTCCTCTAGACGTGTTAGAAGAACTGCAACAGAAGGGTATCCTAACTGAAAGAGCAATGAAGGATCTACAACTGATGGTGATCTCTGTCATAAATCTTAGACATATAGTCTACGGTACATATAAGCAACAGAAGGAGTTCATATCTTTCTTACAAAGTGAATCTGTAGAAAATGAAAAAACAGAAGTAATACCAGTAAGAAGCTATACAG